ATATTCCTGATGACGGTGTGAGAACCACATTGAAACGTTTAAGTAATAAATATTCTAGAAGTATCTATCCATAAATTGTCTTATTTTAGTATAAACAACGTTTTTGCAAATTGTGAACATGGAGAGGTACCAGAAATGCTGGGGTCCAAAATCATTACCTGATGTGGCCGCCATAGGCGGCGACTACGCAACACATCTTCTGTACATGGAGTGGACTATCCTATCCGGTTGTTGGAGGTTATTATTGGTATCGAGGCCCATATCCTCAGGAACGTTACAAGCCGTTCTTCTACATTTGTCGGCATTGGGCGAACTTCATTGAGTCGGCGTTAGGTCGCATCCCACAAATCTGGACATAGCAGACCAAGGCATGACTTAAATATAAACGAGTGATAGAAAGGCTGCCAAGATCGTCACGTAAAGATTGACGACTAGTAGATTGAGTAACATTAAGTGACGGCCTTGCAACGATCATACTGTAACTCACCGTTTTCATTTTTTCTTTCGAAACTTTTGTTATATTTATCTCAAAAACTTTACCATCATACTTTTTTACAGGAATGAAAAGAAAAAGATAATGGTTCATTTACAGTGGTTTAACAATATCAAAACATTTACAAAAAAAGAGCCTTGACATACACTGGTCCGGGTTCCTTTCCTCCTCTATTTGCACCTTAAAGGTATTGTAAAGAGGTTTTCTAAAAAACAAAAAAAAAATTATGTATATCGGGAACACTGACAGCATCAATTTGCACCATTCCAATTTTCAATCAGGCGTCTCTGGTTCTTGTTAATCCACTAAAACTAAGCGTTTTATGACGTCACTAATAAAAAAAATATGGTGTATCACATAAGGACTTCGCCTCTCTTCGAGCCACTTTGTGACGTCATAAAACGCTTTTTTTTAGGTGGAATTGCAGGAACCGACGTCTGATTGAAAATTGGAATAGTGCAAATTTATACTATCATGATACGCCAAGATCTTTAATATAGGAACATATGACATAAACAGTGGAGAATTTTACCTTTGGACTTCATTTATAACATTCCTGATATGAAATTGTCTAGGTATGCTCTGTATACCTAATACGGTATCACCAAATTATTGATAGTCATAACAGGTGAAATCTTGCCTTGCTAAACATTTGTTTTTTATACTGATTGTTAAAAAGGCAACCAAATGAATAAATATTAACACAATTGTTATTTGTACAGTGCATTTATTCATATAGTATATAGTGTTATAAAATCTGTACACTACCTATAAAGTTATAAATATTATATAACGTTATGACTACCTGGCTACCCAAGACCAACTGCAACTAACTATGGAGAGCTTCACTCATTCCTAATTTTTAGTCGATTAACCAGTCCTAACTATTATAATTATCTGACTGGTAAACATCTAAGACAGGGGTTTTCAACCAGGGAGGGGGTAATGAGGCGATTTATATACATTTATACATGTCTGGACAATAATCATAGTCGTTCTATTCAGTCAGACTGTTCTTGCATGGACAAGAGAAAATCAAGAATTATAGAAGGGAGGGCGTATTGCAATCGGTCAAGAATCCTGAAGAGGATAATAGAAAGAAGAAGGTTGAAAATCACTGAATAAGATAAGATAGTATTGTCACAAATATACATAAACAGTGGTGTAACCTATTTTCGTGGATATAAGGATTCAACACCGAATTGCGTCAAGGTTAAAATAAAGGAATTTTTTGTTATGTATTGGCAGATATTCTACAAAATAATTAAAATTGGTTTATTTCGATTTTCTTTATGAATCCTTCACTTTGACGCATATTTCATGAGCAACCAACTCGGCAACGGCGGCAGAATGCGTCACCTATTTTCGTGTACAATGTTTGATCTATAAATAAGTCAAGAAAAACACGTTGTATGGATACCGGTGGTATAATTAACTTCTCTTAGTATTTATCTTTAATATCAATTCATTATAACTAGTGACAATTCCTTCAAAGAACCACGATTTTAAAAAAAAATAGTGACTGACAAAATAAGATCAGTGTCCCCCCTGTGGCTCCGCTACTGAATAAGATACGTAGCGTGATGTATAGCTAAAAGTCACTGAAACAACATAAGAATATGGTCCACTTTGTGTTCCATAGAAATTTTCTGCTGACACGGAATCCGCTAGTTGATCAGGTGACTTCATTCGTTGGACTACGTTAGTAGTATATGATCTCATAGATTGGTCGCATTTTTCCCCATTCCATTTCATTTCATGGGTAAAAAGCGACCAATCTATGAGCTCCCAAAAAAAAAAGACCTAAATTCCCTACATTTCATAAATTCTTACAGCAAAACATGCTACATTTCATAAAACATCCTACATCTCATAAATTCTTACATTAAAAAAGACCTAAAACACCTTCAATCAATTTCCTACATTTCATCAAAAAAGCATATTAAAATAATGTAGAAGGGAGATAACTCTTGTTTTGGAAAACAATTTTCTACTCAAATTTTAAACCTTAAAAATGGCAAATAAAATACTAGATCCAATCTTTAGATTATACGATCCGATTCGTTATTCATTTAACAAGAAAAAAGAGGATTATATTGTCATCTCACCGACTGTTGGTTCTAAATCCCAATTGAATGATGGTGGTAGAATTGCCTTCGAAATAAATTCATTATCGAATTGGTTGCTTCTTTCAGATGCTCATTTCAGATGCGATTTCAAAATCAAAGACGCCACTCAGAATCAAGCACCACAAACTAATACAACGTTAGAAAACAATTTCTTTCCATCTTTATTTAGCGAGATGGTTTTGGAAGCTGGTTCAAATCCGATAGAAACAATCAAACACCCTGGGGAATTCGACACAATGTTGAAAACAGTTTTATATCCTAAAGATTTCGATTCAGTCTTGGGTTGGATACCCGATGTTGGCGATGGAAGTGTTTTAAAAGAACCGATAAGAAATCTTGCAAATGATGCCGATTTAGATAGAGTGAGAGTTGTTGCTCAAAACACGATAGAAAGAGAAGCACGAGCAGCTAATCATGGATTTGAAAAACGAGTACTTCAGTACAATAATATTGTTGAGAATAATAGGTGGGGTAATTACGTAAATTGGAAATTATATCCTTTATTCGGTCTGTTGGAACACAGAAAGGTTTCCATAGGGTAAACATATAAAACTCATCTACAAAGAGAAATCAACGATGATAAGGTATTCTTTGGAGAGAATGGTTCAGATGCAAAATTAGAAATAACGAATCTCCAACTTTTCATACCCGTAATAACACCATCAATTGAAGTAGAAACGAGAATATTCAACTCATTAACTAAAGATATTGAAATAGCTTTTCTTCGTCGTAACACGGTAGGTAGCTTGACTTAAACGGGAGAATCCACCACGTGGCCAATCACTTACACTATTAAACCAGCAAGATATTTAATGGTTGGTTTCAAGAACTTACCAGATTCTCAAACGAATAACAATAATGTCTTTAGAGTGGCAATGAACCAAACTCAAAATCCTTTAATCCATAAAGTTCAAGTAAGAGTAAACAACGATAATTATCCTAACCAACCTTTAACAGATTAATCCAACCACAAAGGATTATAATGAATTGTATAGAAACTATAAAAATATGTGTGAATTATTTGGAAATCTACCTCAGTTTGAATATGTAGATTTTGCACTTAATCACCCAATCTTCTGTTTTGATCTATCAGCTCACCAAGAAGATCTTTTCAAAACAGGAGTGAACATAAATATTCATATTGAAAAAACACAAGGAGATGTAACAGGTTATTGTTTATTATTGGAAGAAGCAAAACATTTAATTAAAATAGAAGACAGAAGAATGATAAGAATTGAGAAAAAAAATACACCCTTAAAAATGAAACCAGAAACTTTAGTTATGAAAATAATAGAAGCTGTTGAAACAGATTCCCCAACTGTAATAACTTTCAACGGTAAAAAATCAGTATAACTAAAAAACTTATTGATAAATACAAATATTGTAAAGTCAGAGACGATATAGACTTAGGAAGAATTGATACAAATGTAAAAAAGGTGATTTTTACCTTTGCTTCTACCTTTAATATTTGGTGGTATTGCAGCGACTACTGGAATAACAAAAACCGTCCTCTCAAAGAAAGCAGATGATGCTAAAGCCGCTGAAGAACGCAGACACAATTTAGCAATGGAAAAGGAAGCACGAGGTTCAGGAGTGGGAGAAATGATAGGCACAATAAAAGAACTTGGAAAAAGATTTGGGGAAGAAACCAAGAAAACTGTTAAACAAGGATTAAATAAATTAGTAGATAGTATTGACACGGGAGAAGTCAATGTCAAACATAAGGGTAATGGAATATTTTTAAAAAATATACACACTGGAGAAGGAATATTTCTTTCAAAGTATAAAGGAGAAGGAGTGATTTTTGGAACAAATTAGAATAATAAAAAATGGGCAAAAAATTTAATCATTCAGAAATATTTACTAATAAACCAATGCTCATGTGTATATGCGGTAGTTCCGGTTCTGGGAAAACTCATCTCACTTTTAACATGTTGACAACACCAAACCTTTTAGATTTCGATTCTTTGTATATCTACACAACAACACCAGAGCAATCGTATTATCAATTCCTCAAAGCTTTAGAATATCTACCAAAGAAAGATGTTCAAGACCTATTTCAATATTACGAAGAAAACGAAGAAGAAATGGAAATAAAAGATATCATAGATATCGAAGTAAAGAATCTAACGGATATAAAAGTTTTTTTTACGAAAAATGTTAATGATCTAGACTTGTCTAATATTGATATCAAACGAAAGAACTTAATATTGTTTGACGAATGCGTAGCGCAAAGAAATCAAGCTGTTCAACAAGAATTCTTCACGAAGGGAAGACATCACAACTGTCACTGCATATACCAATCTCAATCTTTTACGGGATGGATTCTATGTTTATTAGAAAAAATGCAAATTGTTTTTTATTATTTGAATTAAACGATAAAGATTTATCTCAAATCATTCAATCGATAAATCACGGAATGGATAGAGATGCAGGTTTGTAAAGCTCAATGGAAAAACCCAGATGAACATGGATATGTATTCGTTAATACTAGAAAACCTGCAGGTGAAAGAGTTATGATCGGCATATGTTAATTTTATTTTTTTTAAAAAATGACGGATTGGAATAATATTTTAAAAAGAAATAGAGAATATATCAAAGCTAAGAATAAAAATAAAGACCCAAGTTGAAAATAACAGATTACAACAACTCGGATTAACGGAAAATCTACAAACTCTATTTCAACCCATATTAAAATCTCAAGAGGATATTAAAAGGAAATTAGAATATAAACCTCCGATAGAACCTCCTATAGAACCCATAGCTCCTATAGAACCCCATATAGAACACCCCTAAGCGATTGAATATGATGGTATTATAATTAGGACATTAGATGATATAAATCGTCTCTTTGTTTTAAACCCTGAAGTAGATTTACCAAAGAGTATTACACCAATCGTTGATGATGAGGGGTTATTGTTTAATGGATTTAGAATAAAATTTAGTGGAAATTCTCCTTTATTCAAAATCGATACAAAAGACTTAATATTTACATCAACAAAAGACTTAATAGATTTAATGAATGGCGGGGATTTTGGCAAAGCCTCATACGAGGATTTAGTAGCATACTCCGAATTTCTACATGCAATTAGAAAGTCGGGAACCGAAACAAGAAGATTGAAATCACTTGATTTATATATATAAAAAAGTTATTGAGCAAGATGAAGAGGATGTAGATGATTATGCAGAAGATTATCCATCAATCACACAACAAATAGACAAATTGGAAGAGGAGATAGCTAGTGGACAAGGTTTAACGTTTTTATCCGATAATAAAGAAGAATTGCTTAATAGATTACGAGTAATATTAGCGGCAATGAAGGAAGGACATCGATCGCACAGACAATATAATGAAGTAAATTGTATATTAAAAAGACTCCTAGAAAAAGGTATCATAGATAAAAATGATTATAAAAGCGTGATTAAAATGTCAAATAAAGAACAACTATTCGTCATCACCTCAAATAAATCAGACATTAAATTATCTCGAACTCGATTGCAATCAAGAATATGAATTGGGATTAAAGTATTTCTCTGTTTACAATTCCATTAGAAATATCAACGAAAAAAATAATCAAATAAAAATATCAGCAGATAATGGAGTTACGTTCAAAACCATAAGTTTACTACCAGGAAGCTACGAATACATAGCCATTAACGAATACCTATCTGAATACGGAGGAAGTGTCAATGGTAAAAACAATATTGAATTCGAAGGTAATTTGAATCTGAACAAAATAAAATTGATATTAAGAAATATGAATACGTTACTAGGATTTGATAAACGACTATACACCCAATCCACTTTAGCACCACACAAAGCTAATATCGAGAATGATATCGATGTCATAAATATACATTGCAATTTGATAAACGGTGGATTTTTCAATAAACACAAACGTCAGATTATTTACAGTCTTCCAACATCCACTGTACCGATAGGATATAGAATTATAGAGAAACCATTTCAAACAACGTATTTACCACTTAATTCCTTTATGATTAAAGATATAAATCTGGAAATCAAAGATAGTAAAAATAGGTTTATAGATTTTAGTAACGAGGAAATTGTTATTCAACTTCATTTAAAACAGAATCTTCATTCCCTTCTTGAATAGTAAGGTAATCGTAATCATCAAATTCGTAGTTTTCATCCCTGTTCAATTCTTTTCCGTCGTTGTAAGGATACATAATTCCTTCACTGTTTGGTGCTTTGCTCTTAACGAGATTTAGATAACTTCTAAAAACTTTCTTTTGTTTATCATTTGGAATAACTATTCCATCAGTAAAACTTTTTACCCAAGGTTTCTTAAATTCATTCGTTACATCGAGTCCACTAGCTAATCGAATATTATCTTCTACGAATATCTGATCTTTAGAGTAACCCTTAAACGTTTTCTTTTCTTTTAAAACACCATCGGAAGTTAGAATGATATTGTATTGAACTTTTGGCGCTAAATATAAATCAAATATAATTCCACCATCACCATAATCATTCTTTCCTTTACAATAATCATTTTCGGACACCAACCCAGCTTCATTTAATTTATCCCAATTGCTAGACGAAATGTATAAACTATCGGTATTCGTATAGTATATTTCAGGCTTATAAAATCCATCTATCACGCGAATAAAATTATTCATTATTTTTTTTATTGTGAGATAAAACGAATGATCCCAAATGACTAGTCGTGTAGATTTAGGAGGAATAAATTCTTTTTCTTCTTCATTTATCTCAACTATATATTGACTTTCATTTACTTTTTCATAGCTTTTGATGTGTGAATCGTAGTTGGCTTTTTAAAGTCGCTTCACTCCATAGATGTCTCGATGTAGTTATATCCTTCTGAATAGATTTACCATACAACGAATTGCCTAATAATTTCATGCAGTTACTACCTACGATATTACCTTCTCCTTTATATTTATTTATTAGATCTCTCAAAATTAAAATATAATCTCTATAGGGTGGAGTTTTAAAATTTTCTTCGTAAACTATACCATCTAATATTTTAATAATTCGTCCATCGGCTTTCACTTTTTCTTGAATATCGACCGATGTTAAAACATCTGAACAGAAACCATTTCTGAATCTGATTTTAGTGCCAGTTTCCTTTTTACCTTCTTTATTCGTGAAAGTGATTTTATCTTTAGCTGTATCTGTTGGAAGAACATGTTTTTGGGATATTCAAACCAGACCTTTAAAATAGCAGTTCTAGGTCTGAATTTCTGTTCATTAAAGAGCTTGGCAAATTCTTTATTTTCTTCCGGTAGAAATGGTCTACCACTTTCCGCTCTCGGATATTCGCTATCTAAATCCGACATGGCGGAAGCGTACAAACCGTTAGCATCAAAGGCCATTAGTTTAGTACATTTTATTTTTTTAAGCCTCGAATGAACCTCCGTTTTATCTTTCGTGCTAGCGCTATATTCTTTGAATAAATCAATTATATTATCAGTGTCACTTTCTAAATATTCCTTTAAAATGGCGCAAATTTCATCCATTTTATTCGTTTCAAATGATTTTCGATTTGCCGAAACTCTTTCTCCTTTAATACTTTGTCTGATAAAATCTTATAAGAGGGTGAGTATGTGAGTAAACTTTTTCTACGTTTTCTTTTTCGATGTGTTTCGGAACCATTCTAGTAGTTTCATACCATTCTTCTTCAACCATTTCTTTATCGTAATGATATAAATAATACCAACCCTTTAAAGATAAAGAAGGAGCCGTTAGATTATTGGAAATATTCTGAAATACAACTTCTTTCATTGCTTGATTGTATTTTATCAAACAAGCTCCGAGACATAACGTATCTCTTTTAGCGTAAGGTTCCCATTCATGTCTTAAAGATTCCCAATTATCTTTAGTGTATTTTGCAATGTTTACGTCCTCGATCTTTCTCAAATTCATTGGTAGATTAGATGAATTTCCCCATGCTGCCAAACTAGATGATTCATGTTGATAGGAACATATGAAATTAATATTTTGTAAATAATTAAGAGTTACCCTTTATTTCTTTCTGTCTTTTCCATTTTTTCGGTAAATCTTCATCGGTGAATGAATTAGTTAAAGGTAGAGACAGAATTCCTCTGGGCGTTTTTAAAGGGCATTGTGTTAGTTTTTTTTTACGTTTTTTGATCATGATCCAGTTATCAAAACCGCTAGCGTTATGAGCAATTAATGTTATTCTTTTTTTTATCTATTTTTCCTAAACGTTGTAACATTTGATCGATGCAATCTGTACCTACAAATATTTCTACTATATTAGTCATGAGTTTGCTGTAAAATTCTTCTATGATCTGTCGGCTTTAAATCTGGAAAGAGATTATTTATTCTGTTTAACATTTTTCTTAGTTTTTCTAAATTAATTAACGTGCAAGAATAAGGTATGGCTTTATTTTCGTTATAGGTTTCGCAATCCCATGCGTATAAACAATCATCGGGAATGGTTGGAAAAACATTTAGTTTTAGAGGTGAAACTTGCGTTACCGCATTATCATCTTTACAAGTTCTCCATACGTTTTCATCGTAATTTTCTTCTATTTCTTTAATGCCTAAGGTTTTGTTATTTCTTCTAATGAGACAGAATGTTCTTTGTGTGAATAAAAAAAACCAATCTAATTCTTCGCATACTTTCTTTGGTTGAAAATGTCTATGTTTAAGCATATAAATTTGAAAATAAGTATTAAATTTCTTATTGAATTCACTGATTCTAGCAGATGTAATAACTCCTTTTCTGTTTGATTTTGAAAAACTGTTGATGAAATCTTAAAAATCTCTCGTGTAGTCTTCGTATAAAACACGATTAAAGCACTTTACAAAGCAGTATCCATCGCTCGGTATATAACAATTTATACCGATATATTCATTTATCTACCCTTTTTTGATCTTTTTATTTCTTTGAAATTGTTTTTACGGAAAATCATTTTTCCTGTGAAATACCAATCAGAAGCATCCGATTTTATATCCACTCTAGCGAAGAAATTGTGAAAAGTTTTGGTATTAAAAGCTACAAATTGCATGTTTTGTTTGTGTCCTCCATCTTGAATTATCTCTCCATCTAATTCAATTTGCCCTTTAAATGTTATAAATTCATCAGAGATAATCTTAATAACATTGGAAAAACGTTCATTTGATATGAAGTGAACGCGGCTAATACAGTTGGGACAATTACTTTGAAGCATTTATCCACCGGTTACGGCTGTTGCCACCGTTATCCCTACTGTTAAAACTGTACTTAATGTTTTGAAAACAGAATCAATACTACTCCATGTTTTTCTGCATTTGTTGAATTGTTTTAGTTTTTGTTTTAGTTCGTTTTGTTTTTCTATCATGTATTGTTGTCTACTTTCGAGTTCCATTTTTAGGTAATTAAATTAAGTGAATTTCTGATAAAGCTACTTTACTAAAAAATTGCATATTTACTAAGAATATTTGTTCTTTCAAATCATTAATCTTATTCAGATGAACTGAAAATTTTGGTTTACTAATATTTAAAAACATAGCTGCATCATCTCTTTTTATTGGTATCAAAAAAAAATTTTGTTGTTGACTTTTATGAAGATCGATTGAGGTAAATATATCATTATCAAAAAAATATAGTTTTACGTATTCAAAGTCTGTTGCTCGTAAAAACTGATAATTGATTATTTCTTTTTGTGGTTTGGATTTCTAACAATACTTAGTGGTGGAGTTTCCGTTTCCAATAACATATCAAAATTACTCAATGAAAGTTGATCTTCTTCATTATCTGGTATGATTAACATACTAAACCTATCTATATATTTTCCACTTGTTTTAATTTCATATAAGTGACGAGGCTTGTTGTTTTCATCGTTAATTTCTAATTCTTTAGTTTCTACATTTTTTGTACCATTGATAAACTGAAGAACTTTACGTGCGTTAAATTTCTTAGACATACGTGAGTTTTGTCTGAAGAATATTGAATCAACTTTTACCTGAAAAGGGAAATTAATTTCAATTATAAGTTTTCCTCGGAAATCAAAAAATATTAATTGATAATCATCCTCATCTGAATCAAAAATATTATTGGGGTAAATAATATAATTTGGAACAGAATATACTCTAATATTTGCTGTAAATCCATATTTTTTAAATTCATAGTCTTTTGATTTATCAATATTATCATTAATAGAAGGATCATTATGAATTCCCATTACTCCAAACGGAAGTTTAAAATAATATGATTCTTTCTTGAGAAACTTTTTTTCTAATGCGACTATATTTTTATCCTGTTTCAAAACTAGGTTATCATCAATATTTTGTATTTGTTGTTGAATATAGGTTTTGATTTCGCTATCATCTATGTTTTCTATCTGTTGTTTAATATTTCTTAGTTCTTTTTGTAATTCACTGTTAAGAGCATTTAATTCCTATTGAAACGTATCTTCATTTTCATCTGGAATGTTATCTATTAATTGTTGAATGTCTAATTTTTGTTTTGCAATCTTATCCTCTAATTTAGATATTAATGAAATTAAATTTTGTAACTCAGTTTGGTTCGCTACGTTGACCAATTCTTTTTGAATAAAACTTATTACTCTTTGTACCTCTTGTTGTAGTTTAGTATCATTAATAAAATTTTTATTATTTAGTTGACGTTTAAAGAATCTTTTCACATTACTTATTCTATCTTCTAAATTTTTTTTTTTTTTACTTCAATTGAATTTATTTGATCCCGTAAATATTTCTTGTGAACGGCGTCATTATCGTTTTCCGGAGACTTTAAATTAGTTACTTTGAAATTGTTCATATCTCAATCACCTTGAAGAGTGTCACCGATTTGATCCACAAAGTAAGGTTTCGCTTTATTTATCCCGGTAATTGAATTTGAAAGGTAGAACATTTGATTGGTAGATAAGTCAATTGCATTATCTCTTCAGTGGGTTCTATTCCATAAGATTTGAAGAAATATAAGTCTTTGTATAAAGCAGAATGTTGAACTTTTTGATCGGAAGTATGTATATTTGTTATCGCGTAAAATTTACCTTTCTTATATTTCAGATCATTTATTTCATCTCTCATACAATATTAAAACGGTGATATATTTAACTCATTCGCCCATCTCATAAGTTGAAAGTTTGTGGTTGTATTGGTTCCATATTTATCGAGAAATTCATTCATTTTTAAAAGTCGGTTTTTTGAGGAGTATTGTTGAAATATATACGTAGTTTGAAAAAAATTGTATTACATTCAATAATATTTTGAACATAAATTTGCATTTAAATTTTAAAAATTTAAAGCGTAAATGCTTGTCTACATCTCTTAATCTTCCATCAAATTCTTCATCATTCATTTTTAAAAGTCAGTTTTTTGAAGTTCATTTTGATAAAACCTTCCTATGATTTGTTCTCTGTCTTGATCGATTAATTCATATGTCGGAGGTGATGTGGTGTTTACTTTATCAACGATGAATATTTCGTTCGTCCAGTATCCAACGTAACCTTTTTCGAATTTACTTTTATATTTGAAAATACGAACGCGATCTCCGACTTTAAATTTGGGTTTAATATTTAAATTCTTTATTTCATTTTCGTAGTTATGTTGCGCGTTAATTGACTTTATAATATTTGGATTACTCGAGGCTTGTGTTGGTGTAGCACCTATAGATGAATGAATTTTGTTATTGTATTCATCTACAACCTCTGGTAATATGTTAAGCCATTTTTGAGATTTCAATTCCGTGAACTTTTTGAATAATTTATTTTTTAGAGTCCTGTTAAATCTTTCTATTACTACAGCTTTACCTTCGTTATGCGTGCTGTAAATTTCAAATCCCAGAGATTTCATATTTTTGTTATAAAATTCACTTCCTTTATCTACCCACAGTTTTTCTGGATGTCGGTTAGATTGTTTCATAATCGTTTCAAATGCGTGTTTGACTGATAATCCCGTTTTGTTTTTCAAAGGAATAACCCATACATATCTCGTATACAAATCTATAACTGTTAAGCAATATTTAAATCCTCTTTCGACTGGCATATTAATTAAATCGGCTGACCATATTTCATCTTTTTCAAACACTTTAACTTTTTAAAAGTTTTTAGTTTTTCTAAATTCTTTGTGAATTTCATCCGCTAATCCCATGCCTAATTTCATCTTTGCTTTTAACAGTTTTATGACTAATGCTCTTTGCATTCTCTCTTTGAAAGTTATATTTGGAATATTTTCAAGTTCGATTATCATTTGTCTGTCTGCTTCGTGTCTGAAGTTTATGTCTTTATTTCTGTATAAAATATCGTGTTTAAGCGCAGCGGCGTCAACTCTATTGACTGGTTCTTCCCCTGGTTTGGGTTTATCGTTTTCGTCTAATCGCAGATCTAACCTAGTACCTGGACCGGTGTAATTATGACCCGGAAGATGTTTTTCTCCGGGATATTTCGCCCATGGAAATCCAGGAAGAGAACCCAATCATTTTTTTATATCTCCTGAACCGAAATAGGTTTTTGGAGCGTGAGCGACTATCATTTTTATCCTATAACATTAAAACTTTTCCTTTCCTTTCTTCTAATCTCCTGTTTCGCAGTTCTCTTATTAGCCCCAATTCTTTCAACTCGTTAGACTGTTTCACTGCGTCGCTTATACTCTTTCCCACTTGCGCGATTTAGCCGACGGCTTTCGCTCCGGTTGAAATGAGTGATTTGTTGTTTGAAACAAAGCTAGCTACTTTTGGAATTATTTTTGAACCTAGAGAAAATATAGATGAAAAGATACCGTCGCCCGAATAATCTTCGAATCTGTGTTGTTCGTGTTTTAGAATTAAACTCATCCTATTTTTAAATGAGTTAATTTAACGAAGAAATTGTGGTCTGTTTTTTTTTTATCCAAAAAAGAGTTATCTCCCTTTTTCTAGACCAAAAATAACATTATTTAAAACGAGGCTATTAAAAACCGGATGTTATGCGAAACAAGGATGTTATTTTATATAAGGGTATTTTTAATATGCTTTTTTTTTTTGATGGAATGTAGGAAATTGATTGAAGGTGTTTTAGGTCTTTTTTAGTGTAAGAATTTATGAAATGTAGGATGTTTTATGAAATGTAGGATGTTTTGCTGTAAGAATTTATGAAATGTAGGGAATTTAGGTCTTTTTTTGGGAGCTCATAGATTGGTCGCATTATACCCATGAAATGGAATGGGGAAAAATGCGACCAATCTATGAGCTCATAATACTACTTACGTTCTAGCAGACGAAACTTAGAATTCCCATTACCGCTTGGGATTATAAAGAAATTCGGCCGATAAAAAATGGTGATAAGTTTGGTAATAACTGAAATCCGCCATTTTGTACTTGTCAAAGTATACATTAATACATTTTACCTTGCTTGAAACTACTGGATTCATTCTACTAGCTGATATTGTGCAGACAACCCATTTTTATCAAAACAAGCTAATGCGGAGGTCGCGCAAGGTCCTTCATGTAAATTACTAAAAACATTTCAGGAAATCCACGAAAAATAGGTTACCACGAAATTAGGTTACTTGTAATTTAACCTACCTGCAATAATACATCTAATACGATTATCACCAAAAAGCATGCAATGATTGGCTTACAATTGCATAGGACTGTATATAACCTAAAACAACAATATTACAATAGTATAGACTTAAACATGTTTCCTGCTATATATTTTACTATAAAAACGGTCGCAACAGCCACAATGTCTAGCTATTACGAGCTTCCTACTTATGCCTTGACGGCAAGTCACCTTTCTTGTATCATAGAAGTTTGTAAATGAAGCGATTTGATTGGATTGTACGTTAGGTTTCGGTAATGGACTGAATGTGATGGATTTGGACACAAAGGGTGCGAATGGATTTGAAATAGTCTTGGTTATTCGGTTGAAGTTCGACGATTCATTGATTAAGGTAGATTTATTTACGGCAAGAAGATTCCATGATGATTTGTCCTTAGTTTGGTGATAGAATGGTTTGGTAGACGAAATAATGGTTGTCGATGGGCTGATTTGTACTGACTTTGGAGTTGTTTAAAAGGCAGCATTGTGTACGGACTGTTATCGAGGATTTGGCCTGGATAGAGATATACGGCTGGAGTTGATGGGTGATGGTGGTGTTGCTTGTTAGTTTAAGTATGCGCAAAAGGGAGAGAAGTTGTCAGAGGCTTGATCACGTGGAGAAGACTGTGCAGTTGTATAGATATGAATCTGAAAATGGAAAGAGCATAGGGGTGTCATCTCTGCGTGAGCGTTAACTTGCGTCTTCTGGATTTTGAATGGGTGAACTACGGGCTCGTTTCAGAGTTTAGATAAGGTGGTGACTCTACTTGGTGCTGGTGTCTGTTGAGCTATATCCATGTCTTCAGTCTTGGTTTCGTTGATGATCTGACAGAATGTAGTAACAACAGGCTGGTTATGGCGTTTCCCATGCGCTCGACGGACCCAAGACAAGGCATGGGAAATGATACGATCTAATACAAGTGGCGATAATGACTTGGCACGGATGGTGATGAGCTTCTCCTGGAGAGTGGTTTGGTAGTGGTCGATCAGAACCTACGTCACCTAAGAGAACCATGTTTTGTTGAGGGATCTAATATTCTTGTCAACAGCTGATGTTTTCATTGCTGGACGAAACAAAATTATCCAACTCAGAGACTTTGAGTTTGAAAGTGAATGCAGATTATTCCCAAGCTTAAAAAATATTTCGCTTTTTTATATTCGGTTACTGATTCATTCTTTAAAATGAAATAAAAGGTGTACAATCTTGATGACCAACAAATTAAATGTTTAATCTTGGCCAAAGTGAGCCTTTATTCATTACACATGGTGTTAAAACTATGCAACAAATCACTCTATAATTTATTAATCCATACAACATGCCTAGAATACATGCTTTTTTATTAGTATATTTTGAACAACTTCGACATGTGGAATCCGAAATTTCTGACTTGTGGAATCAGAAATTTCGAGTTGTACAAAATATATTACAAAAAATTTTGATTTTTAAGTGTGCCTAAAAGGCTTTCATAAAAGAGTTTTTTAATTATTACTTTTATTTTAATGGATAGTTATGTCGTCTATAGAGATTCTTAAGCCATGGTATACCTGGTAAGTCAAATTGATGAATATATACTCTTAGTCTTATCGTTCAAGTTTGAGACTTAAAATTGTGTGCCCATTCTAAGAGGTATATTATAAGTATTCTTTTAAATGAAATTCATTTTCTAACATTTTGGAATAACAACATTTGCAAATCGTTCAACTTATGGGATAAAAAATTGCTGAGTGCAACCTATGAATAAACTTCCTGAACTTAAAAAAGGTTAAAACATATATATTAGTATTAAGAAATTACTGTACCTTGTCATGCTTATCTTGATCAAATATCCTTGGAATTGCAGCGTTTTTATCTGGATTATATATAACACTGCTATTATAAATGTTATCAAGTATAATAATATAGATAGAAACTGTTTATAGTGTCATGAATATGATAATAAATTCCAACAAGCTGTGAACATCGATACATTTTGTTGTATCCGTTTCATTAGTACCTAGATGCTAGTACCTATTGATGGGGCTGACGTACAAAAGCGTCTATTAGGGTCGTTCGAATGGGACTAAAAAAGGCCCATTGTCTTACAGACTATATACATTTTAAAAATCCCTCGAACGCTGGAATAAAAATGAAGCGCAGACTATTGCCACTGTCATTAAAATGTTGATGTTTTTATTATATATTGGTCTTTCGATAAAATTGTTGTTAATTTTGCTAAGAAATTCTCAACAGGAGGCCATGCGATTCTCAAGATGCCCTCACGATTAGCCCAAAATCTATACAATCAGATCTGATTTTAAAACATAACTATTGTAGGAGAAAAATTATAGAGTTTCAGGATTTCTGGTGCCCTTCAACACGACGAACTCAAGCGAACCCGACACTTTAGTCATAAAAACTAAAGCCAGAAATAGACTCAATGCGACCGATGATTATCGTAGGATTTTCGACACTGTTCCTATATTTGGACTGTTGTAGTCTTCCTACTGAGCATCTAATTTGATTAGTATATTATCATATGAATGATTATTATGAATGAAAAATCATAGGATTTACAATGTTTTGATTGTTATGGAAATGCGTTCAATCTGTAGCTTGTAAATACTCGAGAAGGCACAATTCTTAACGATTTGAACCGAACGATGAACCCTATCACAATATAACTTGTTCTTTAGCTAGAAAATGTAAAAGGCACAATTATTGATTATAGATAAATTTACATAAAACTTCATAAAAACCATATAGAAACCTCTTTAAAAGTTTTAAAATTTTTTCTTGTTTTTTGAAAAGCGTTCTATTTCAAGCTTGAACACACTCTTACTGTTCGTGGCAGATTCGGACGGAATTATTAATTTTCATGGAGTTTAACGTCCTACTTTCTGTTTCACTTAAAGAAGAGCCAAAAAACGTTTGAAAGAAGTGTATGGCCAAGGGTTGAATATAATGATATGGTGACGGGTTGGGTTCTGCCAAATGATAAACATCGCCAAAGGATGAACCTTATTGAAAAAAAAGTGGGAAATATCTATGCTCTTGTTTTTCGAAATTTGATTTAAACAAAACTGACAAATGTTACATTGCCTGAAAAAACCCATTTATAAACGTCATTAAAAGTGTTGAAATATATGTAATTAGTTATTTTCCTTGTTTTTTGAAAAGCTTTCTATTTCAAGCTTGAACACACTCTTCAGTTCGTGGCAAATTTGGACAAACACTATCAATATCTATATCATTACTGATCTCTACTACATACTACAGTCAAACACTGTCAATATCTGTATCATTACTGACCTCTACTACATACTACGTGAGTTTGAAGGCTTAAATTTTGAAGGTGAGCTGTGAACACTAGTACGGATTTGCTTAGCAAAAAAAAATCCCGTTTCTGAGACTAAAGTCTGGTTGAAAAATTGGCGTAACTGTCCCTTTAAAAAAAATATTTGTCCTGGGTGCAATATAATTGTTCAATGCTGCATGAATCAAAATGAATAGTGGGCCATGTTACCACTTTCTTGAGAATTTTAAGGAATTTTTTGCGGTTTTTACATAATTTATTCCTTTGTTTCGAAGTTCATGTTAATTCTGGACACTTTAAGGAATACAGAATCGTTTGCAGAAACAACATGTGTTAGTGAAGGCAAGATTCTGGACTACAAATTGGAAATGGTTTGAATGAAAGACTAGCAAGTCAGTATTTTTTAAGTCACATGATAGCTGTTTTAATGTATAAGTGACCAACTTCGACAATATAACACATATTTAAACATTTGTGCAAACCTTGTGGATTATGGATTATTGTATCACAAAATATTGTGGAGCGAACGGACCCAGGGTGAATGAACTCGGGGCGACCATGAAAAAGGCCGAAAATGTACAGGAGTGAACGCGTCTGACAGTACTGAGATAAATACAAAATTCTTAACTTCATTACCTAGGCCTGCACCTTTATGGGATTTTTATTCTCAAATCATCGTAACACCGAAAGGATCCAACATTACAATTTTTGTGGAAATATGCATTACTTACTCAGCTGCGTAGCCAAGATTTCATTCACGGGGTTGCGGGGCACCGTTGCCCCCTTTTTGGCTTTTATAGGGCATTACCCTCTAAATATGCCACTGTAGTTACTTGAAAAAAGGTAGTAATATTAAAAGACAAATTGCATAAAATGCAGGAATTCATTATTATATTCATGGTCACATAAACCCAGATTAATAAGCACTGTGACAACCAACCCGTGAGACAACCAACCCCGGTCTCCCCTTAGGCGTATCTTGCCGACAAAGGGTGTACATGTATATACAATATCTTATAGTACGTCGCCCTTCTCTTAATTGAAAACTATAGCTTGTGCCATTGTAACATTTCGGTCCAAATAACCAAATAAATTGAACAGTTAACTTCTCTTTTTTTTTCCACTGAAACTTTACAGCCCGTGTCACTTTCATCGTGTACACGTAACAGCTGTAAGAACTTATACAAGCTACAGATTTCATCTGATTTTGATCAACATTTTGGACATGAAGAATGGTGAAATAAGGAATGAATTTGATTGAAGATGTTTCGACGGAGGATATGATAGTAAAAATGATCAAAATCAGCTCGTTTGTAGCCTATTAAGTTTAGATTAATGAGATCTAATACCAGTTCGTATTTGTCGATGTTCCTTAAATATTTTTTTTCTTCATTTCCCTTGACTTTAAGAAGCGCATGGAAGTTATCTTACAGTTGCAGTTTTCATTCGATATTGACATGGTATGCTGATGTGGTGATCATCAACTTTTCTTATCACGATAAATTGCATCGTACCATTCCAAGTACGAGCTTTGATATCGTCTAATAGTTTGACTGGGACCGTAATATAGCCAATGTACCGTTTGATATTACTGTGACCTATTTTCCTTGTGACCAATTTACCGTTTTATATTACTGTGATAAATTTACCGTTTGATATTACTGTGATACATTTACCGTTTTATATTACTGTGATACATTTACCGTTTGATATTTCTGTGGCCAATTTTCCTTGTGACCAATTTACCGATTGACGAAAAATAGCCGTTTGATAAATTACTGACAATTTTCCATACATGGTAACCAATTTGGCCAAATTTCCAGTGACCAAATCCCGAATAAAAAGTTGGACTTTTTACGTGTAAATTGTAATATTATGGGACGACCTGCACAAATGTAGGCTATGTAAAAATCCTTCTCCGTCAGCGGAATGGAATTAAGTTTTCCCCGGTATCTGGCAAAATAGGTTTTCAAAACTCGTTATGAAATTGAATATGAAAAAAAGTTCATCTAATCCAGCGGTATAAAAATAGAAATAAGACATTAGACACGAAACATAAGGTTGAAAGCCCGGGTGAAGGCCTACATTGGATAAAGAGGGTCGGACACGGGAAAAGGCTAGAAAAGTCTAAATTATGTGTGACTATGATTATCGGGTAATCCTACACATTCCGATTGACTGGTCCATGTCTTTGGGACGATTGATAAATTAATTGTGGTCTGACAGCAAGAAAATACCACTTCCGCTCTGGCATGCGCACACGTCGATGTCAGCCATTAGATGAAGAGAGAGATGCAAAGCAAATTAAAATGGAATAAATGGATTTTGAGCATGTTGACAGACGTCTAGCTCAATGTCTTCGGCACTTTCTATGTTTAGAAAGTCGGCCAGTCATGGCGATGTCAAGAAATCGGCTCAAAAGGTAGCTGATCCCAAGAAAGATACTGTGACAAGATTGAAGCACCTGCGAACTGTTTTGGGTAAGTGAAAGTAATGCAAATTTTGACAGTTAAAATGATAGTGCATTTGTCTTTACTTGATATAGCAATATGAATTAAGGCATTTGCCATGGATTAGACCATAGCTTTTTACTGAAATCCCTATCATGAATATAGCGAATTGTTCAAACCGTAAGTAACAACTTTGATTGTTTCTCAGACTTTCATTCCACAATTTTGATTCCTATCCCAAGGTTTAACATATTTTGATTTCTCCTATTGCCAATTGTGCATACAACCAAAAACTAAATGTTTAAATGTTAACAGCGTGCAGAAATAGTCCCATTATCCGTTCTTTATTGCTGTTTTAAGGACCTAATTTTATTATATAACCTAGGTGCAGATTGCCGTAAGATAGGCTTTTCAGTTGATCTTCATTGTATTTTTCTGTGAATATTTCTACTCTTTCTTGGTCTATATTTGAAAAAGTTCATCATCATTGCTTACCAGTGGCTGAACTAATAAGTCTCTATTAGCGTAAGCGAATATATTGACGTACATATTTTACATGGACAAAGAAAAGATTCTAGTTAGGTTTTTACATTTGTTAAATGTCGGTTATATCCAGACCACTTGAACTCAGAAAGGGTTTGAACTAGGACTGGGTATTGTTACAAAATTAAAATCGATTAGCTATGGCAGACTACCTATCAATAATCGATAAGTAATCAAAAAAATTCAGTTGAGAAACTCAATTAAAAACATGCCAAAATTTTTAATTTCATGGGTTCTTTTTGCATCATAGAAGTATATCCTTGCTTTGATCAGTTATTTATAGTTTATTGTGGGTAAAGGAAACTATGTGGAAGAGATTACTACATGTGAATGGATACAGTGGAGAAAATGTAACTTTGACATATAATCGATAATGAAATTTGATAATCGAAATAATAAATTCCAAGCGGTGATAATCAATTATTTTGATCAGTTTACTCAGTCTTAGTTTGAACATATTCCTAATAGATTAACCAAAAATAGGTAAGCTTATAGGTCTACAGTTATCATAACTGATAGGTTCAAGAATGTCTTAGGAGTACCGGTACAGACCATTATTGTTTGAAAATAGCCTTGTCATAACAGGTTGGTTTGTTAACTTTTGAAATTCAACTTTGAGCATGCACACTCCAGATTTTGAGATGGCTCAATGTCATTTTTGAATATTTTTTTGCAGAAACCTACCGATATGATGTTCAAGAAGCCAAGAGGTTTTTTCAAGAGAACTATTCCCATATTTACTATATCTTTTACGATAACTTCAGTACAATAGAAGCAGACTTAAAACAAAGAGGTAAGGCTCTTGACATAATTAATTTATTTTTCTAATTGGCAGTGAGAATTCCAAACTGGTATTTGTTTTTATCATGGTCTCTTGGGACCTATATCTCATAGAAATTAACGGAACAATTTGTAAAAGTATCAGTAGAATTCTGTTACCAAGTATTTCTTATAAATTGCATATGCAATACTATAATAATTCTGATTCTACAAGACCCTGATTTTATTTTTCAGCTAATAAAGCCCACAAGGAGGAATTGGAATCCATCTTGATTATATTTGAAAGAATTTTGTATCTTGTACCAGAATTGATTCACAAAAGATGGATGTTTCACAGCATTGGTGAGTACAAATTATACATAACATGCTGTGCTACTTATTTTGCAGGGGTGTGTCCAGGATTTGTATTTGGGGGTCCTGAGCATAATTTTAGGGATATTTTCCCGAGAAGATTGACGCAAAAAATTTTGGGAGGGGAATTTTTTGTCAGAGGATGCAGACATATGTGAATTGTATTTATATGAATCATCTCAAATCAGACCTAGTTGCCTGTGAAATCGAACCCAAAATCGGTTAACTGATTAACCGTTTCAACACTAACTGATAGCACCATTCGAATTTTCAATCAGACTTCTGTGGTTCCTTCAATTCCACTAAAACTAAGCATATTATGATGACACTAATCAAGAAGTTTTTATGTCATAAAGCATATTTTGCCGTTAGTGATGTCATAAAAAAACTTTTTCGTCAGAACGAGAGGTGGACATAATTTCAGGTGACAAAGTTTCAGAATTTACTACAGGATAAGTAAATTATATGCATTATATACATGCAATACTAACAATTATACTATATATTACTATCTTTTAACAAGCCCTTGATCATTTGATATTGTCTATATTTTTATAGGTGGAATATTAAAGAAGCTGCTACATCCTGGAAATTGTATTAAGGTATTATTTTTAACCATTGTGTATTATGTTATTTATATTAAAGCTAATCAAAGTGACAGCTACCCTTTTTGTGCCAAATTTTGTCCAAGTAATCTTATCTGTCTAGGAAAAATCCTGTAATTTTTGTGTCATTACTGTTCTTCTGAAAATAGGTTTTAATGGGACAGGTGCACCAATCATACTTTAGTCTCAGAAAGGGGGAGTTTATAGCTAAACCAATCAGTTATAGTGTTCACAACTTGCTGTCGAAATTTGAGACTTCAGATTTCTGTATGTCCAGAATTGAAAGTTAAAAAGACGAGTCGTCTTTTCTTGAGACAGTGTCATTATTTAAGGAAAAGATATGTATATAAATAGTAAAAGAAATTATTAGTTTTAGATAATTATGCGGTTTTCATACATTTCTAGTACTTTTGAAGACTATTTCCCTTGATAGTTTCACCCTCTTGCACACTACAAGGCGTTGTCATTTTCTTATTAAGCTCCATTAATTTCATTTATTTGTAGTTGAGAAGAGAAGGTATGAGGTTGTATGTTATTTGGTATCAAATTTTACAAAATAATGCTAGCGAAGAATGTCATCAGATCTTTGTACAACTGGTGCCTGGTTTAGGAGAGGGTACACATCAAGATGCATTGCTCAACAGAGTTCCAACCACGCCTGATAGTAAGTTTCATTATATTCTATTTCTTTCCCAGTAAACACCTCAGCATTAAGTACAAAATAATTATGAAATGATCTAAGTGTCTGTAATATTATTGCTTCTTTTGATGAAATGGTATCTCTTTTGAAAATCTGAAATTATACTTGGCATAGGGCTGGGCGATATTTGTTCAAGTGGATATCACGATAATAAGCATTAATATATCACATGTATATATCACGATATGGGTATATATTATGCTATGGGTATATATCGCACTATGGGTATATATCATGCTATGGGTATATACCCCATTTTATTAAGTATGATTTTTACTGGTTTTTGAATCACAATTGTTTTTTTTATTATCTAAGAACTTTTATAAATGTAACAAAAAATAACCAATATCTTCCAAAAAAAGTCTACATGGTGCAGAAAAGTAGGATGTAAAACTCCATTCATTTCATTTTTTTTTAATATGATGGAAAAAAATCTGTTTCAAATATTGAGTTACTAGTTAGAATTGTTAAGGTGATCTTATCTGGACAATAATTTGAAGATATCTCATGATATGGCAATATTTCGGTATTTTTGATCATTAGATATTACTAACGATATAAATTCCTTTACCGGTATATATCATGATACCGGTATATCGCCCAGCCCTAACTTGACATAGCTAGGCCTAAGTAGGATAAACCATAATCCGAGTTTCCACTTAAGATGATACTGTGAGAATGTCTTTGAAAAGCTTTTTGTTTCTGCAAGAAACCTGTCGCTCCTGAATATCTTAAAAGTTATTTACCTTAGGTTGAGCAAAAGTTCTTTGTAGGAACTTTTTTTAACACTAATCAGCTGGTATATATATTCAGAAAACCTGCTTCTTGGACTTTTTTTTCCTCAAAATTTTCGGCCATTACTATATGTGACTTAAGGGATTGTAAAGTGGTTTTCTACATTTTTTATGTGTATCGGTAACACTGATAGCATAAATTTGATGACGTTACTAATCACAAAGTATGCTGCATCATGTAAGGATTTTCTGATTAGTGATGACATTAAACGCTTATTCTACATGAACTACAGACATCTGATTAAAAATTGGATTGGTGCAAATTGATACCATCAGTGTCCCAGGTACACATAAAAATTTTGAAAAACTTTTTACAATCCCTTTAACTTGAAAGATGAAAAATATTAATGCTTTATTTGGAATTCCCTTTTTTTTTCTGTCTTATTTGTCAAGTTTCATTCATTTCATTTCATTTTCTTGTCTTCAGTTGAGAAAACTGACCCTTTTCTTAGTCCATTGAGTAAGTTGATATATTTTAGTCTCTTCCCTTTACCAATTTATTTCATTGTTAGGCATGATGTATATTCATCAATTTTTAAAGGACAAGTATGGTTTTTACAAATATTTTTTGTATAAATAATTCCTTAATTATTATTATTTGAAAGATGTATTTTTTGATAAATAGTTTGAAAAGAATAAATGGATATTTTTGATTTTCTCAAATTGTTCTTCAATGTATGTGAAAATGTACGTTTATCAATAAAAGATACAATTATTTACAAACCATACTATTTCTTTAAGTAATGGAATTAAAATGCATATGTAACAATGTTAATTTTGAAGTAGATTTGTTTTAATTAGGTTTTTAAAGCTGTTTTTAAATGTTGATTACAATATTCAATTATTTATTCATTTTGAATTTTTAAAAGTCTTGAATTTTTTTTTTTTAATATGATTGATAAAGTTTTACTGTGAAGTATATTTGTTGAATATTGTATGCTAAATAACTAGGGCTGCAGCGATTCATCGATGAACCACGATTCTTTCCTTTTTATTGATGCATTGTGTTGGATAAAAATAGTTGTGATGTATCGGCACGATTAATTCTTAGTCCCCTTTAATAACAAATGAACACAGAATCCTTGTGTGTATAAGACATTGTGTCATGTTTTCATTTTCCAAGTATGATTTTTATACAAAAATTTATTTCTGACTTTAGAAATTGAGATTTTTTTCACAATTCCTTACTTCGAAATGTTCTCAAGTGCTTAACAGTGATTTTACAAATTTCTACTATTTTTTTCTCTTTCCCTCTCTAATAGATCAATCGTGATAATTATGGCAATAAATCGTATCGTTGGATGAATATAGTATAATGTATTGAATCGCAGCTTCAATAATTGTTGCAGCCCTATAAATAACAAAAATAATATATTTATGTCTTCCCCAAGTTCAAATCATTTTTAAGCTTTTAACTCAATGATTTGCATGTGCTTATTTATATCTGTTTAAAGGGATGCAGTATTCTAATTATTCAATTTGCAGGAGGGATATAGGCCTGAATTTTAGCAATCTTCATTACTTTTCAGAATAGGTTTACTCTAGGTTTATCTACAAATAATTAAAGATAGCACAAAAGTCAACTCAGGGACCATTTTGCAATTTGATTGCTAGTTTTTGAGACTTTTCATCAAGGCATAACTTTTGGTATCTATACAAGGTTTAATATTAATCAGGCCATTTTTTTGACCAATCATACTTTAGTCTCAGAAACTGAATTTTTTAGCTGAGCAAATCAGTAATAGTGTTCACAGCTCACCATCTAAATTTGAGCCTTCAAATCCATGTGTGTCCAGAATTATCCGCATTATGAATGTTAATAAATGTTAAAATTACACCTCTGATGGAATACTAGACAGGCTTATCAAGTTCAATACGCCTCAAAATTCACTTATTGTTCTCATCACATTATCCCGTCACTGGAAAGGGCAGAGGTCAAGCAAAGGTTAACAGAGAAGTTAAGTCGAGAAGGACAGTGTTAGACCTTACTGTAGTAGTTACTTACAAAGTTAATAGCTTATTAAATATTCGAAACGAAACTAATAAAATACTAGAGCCACACGTGGCACAGAGTGGGACTTTGCAAATGTAGCAAAATGCAAAAGACTCTGAAAAAAATCAACCTTCTACGATAATTACATCACGCGCAAGAGCAGTCTAAAGTTGAGAAGAATTCTTTGGAAAATTGTTATAACGGAAGTAGACAGACCTCACAAATGAAAGTATCAGAAGATAGCCAAGGTCAATAACATTTGACATTGAAAGGGAGACGGTCAACAAAGGTCAAAGTTACGAGATACAAGTCATCAAAATTTTTAAATATATACGGCTATAAAACTGGAAGTTGAGCTAGGACAGCAAATATAAAAGTATAAATAGATAGCCAATGTGAATGACCTTTGATCCTACAAAAATCAGGGTCAAAAAAGGTCAAGGTCAAAAATTGAAAATTTAGAATTTTCAAAACCTGTTCCTTTTTTTGAACTATAAAGCTGAAACAATCGAATTTCTAAGACAACGTGGCTCAACGGTTGAAGTAATTGTATGCAAAGTTCCATTTTGAACAAATGTATACTTTGCGAGTTATGTCCCTTGCCAAACTTGTCAATAATGAGTGATTTAACCTGGATGTGCTACGCCCACCTCAATTTCTTTTGCATAGGTTAATTGATATTATGTTGTGTTCCAAATTTAAAGCTTCTACATCATACAGGTCAAAAGATATAGGTCAACAAGAGTCAATAAAGGTCGAAATAGAAAATTGAAAATATGGAAAGTTATGCCCCTTTCCCAAAATGTAAACAATTAGTAATTCAACCCGGATGTGCCACGCCCACTTCAACTTTTTTGTCATAGGTTAATTCATATTCAAATTGTCTTGTTGTGTTCTAAGTTTCAATGTTCTACATAAAATATGTCATAAGATATATACACACCAAGCTCAAAAAAACAGAAATATTGTAAAAAAAAAAACTCAAATTTCAATTTTGCTTTAAAAAACGATTGTTATAAATCACTTGAAAGAGCATGAAAAGCACATTAAGAATCCGAAAAAATTAACCCTCTGGGTTAATTGGGTTACGTGCTAGAGCAGTCCAAAGTTGCGAATTTGGTTGTTTTCGGACAGCTATAAAACCGGAAGTCATGTCGGAGGTCAAATGTCAAAGAATAAACTGATAGCTAAGGTCAATGTCCTTTGACCTTATAAAGGTCAAGGTTATCAAAGTTCAAGATCACGAGATATGACCCTTCAAACTTTGAAAAAATTCAACCGGATGTTGCAAAAAAGCAAAATTTAGAATCGGAAAACGGCTTCCTAATGCCATGTTTTTTTTTTTTATCTTCTTTCATTTGACACCAAAATCATTTAAATCGGATGAGCCATTATGTCTGAATAAAAATCGAATCATTTCAGAAAAATCAAAATGGCGGCAAAAGTTTCACGTCTGTTCCGGATTTTTTTTTCTTCATTTTTTTGTCATAACTTTGTCTACCTATCAGCATAAATTTTTTTGTGCTATACAAATTACACCAGAAGATATTCAACCGGAAGTGAACATCGATTTCCTGTTTAAACCGGAGGTGAAATTGAAAATTTGACTGTACCATTTTGTTTACTTTCTTAAACTGTCTTTGCTCAATTTTTTTCAGATTAATCAGACAAACAGCAAAAAAAATGAAAAATTTGGCAAAAAAAATGTCTGCGACAAATTTTTCGAATTTTGAAATTTTGTAACTGCTATTCTTTCAGATTTTGCCAGTAGATTCCAAAAATGCAAACCCAAAGAAAATCGACCGAAAAATACGACTTCTAGAGCCGATTATCTATTCTTGCACACATTGAACTGTGGCACTTCCGGTTTTGCAAAAAAGATCCAAAATATATTTATGCACATCGTCGCCTATATCTAAGGTTCGTGAATGTTGAATGGTTGCTGCAACTATTGTAATCTAAGCTCAGGAAGGTGTGTAAAAATCAAAAAAAAAAAAAAAGTTCTAGTAGTTTTGAGACTATTAGTATTAACATATATTAAGGACCCAAATCAACGCTGAAAATGGTGAACCATGGCCTTTAAAACACATATATTTATACAAACTACACCTCCCTTCCTCCAGAACCACTGCTTTAAGTTTCCAGCTCACCTAAATCAAGCCAAACAATCTGACCACAGAAAACCGATGTTTTCCCAGCACAGTTCTCTGCAGCTATGAGCATCCATGTTGGCTTTTTCAGGGTTTTCTATTGTTGTCAATTGTGACATAAAGTTTATTACAAAATTATGAAAAATGGCTAAAGCAATGTTTTGCAATATTTTATGTAATTAAATGGCCCATATTGCTATCTAATATTTTCCTTGATTAACCAAAATTATAATTTGTCACAATGATGTGAGATTCAAATATAATTGTATAAAATCTCTGTGAAAATTTCTTGCCTAATATTGAAATATATGGCAACCTTTGGTGGTCTCTTATTACCTTCAAGAATTAATATTAAGAGCGTTCTCAAGTATTGTGCCTTATAGAGTGTTTACAAGCTAAAACTCTCATGCTAAGTTTTAGCTTGTAAACACTCTTGAAGGCACAATACTTGACAGATTTTGACGAAATTTGGCATGAGTGTTTATCACCCAAGGATAAAGCCTATTGAAAATCAGAAAAATATTAAGTATGAGTTATTGCCCTTGTTCTTGAAAACGCGTTCAATTTTTAGCTTGTAAACATTCTAGAAGGCTCAATTCTTGACAGATATTGACGAAACTTGGTGAATTTGTTCATTATCACCTGGTGAATTTGTTCATTATCACCTGATGCATTAGTGCATTATCACCCGAGATGAACCCTATCGAAAATCAAAAAAATTGAATATTTTTCATAGGAGTTATTGACCTCGTTCTTGAAAACGCATTCAATTTTAGCTTGTAAACATTCTAGAAGGCTCAATTCTTGACAGATATTGACGAAAATTGGTGAATTTGTTCATTATCACCTGTGGATGAACCCTATCGAAAATCAAAAAAATCGAAATATTTTTCTTAGGAGTTACTGACCTCATTCGTGAAAACGCTTTCAAATTTTAGCTCTTAAACACTAAAAGGCATGATTCTTGACGCATTTTGACAAATCTTGGTTTCATTATTCAGTACCGCGCTGAAGATTGAAAATGTGCTTTCTAGAGTTTTCACAGCTAAAAATTGAACACGTTTTCAAGATCAAGGGCAATAACTCATACTCAATATTATTCAGTATCGCCCTAAAGAGTTCAAAAGAAGTGTATGACTGAAGGTTGAATATTTCATACTGGTGATTGTTACTGTACTGCTAAATATTTTTAATTCAAAATCAAAGCTGCCAGTGGGCGTATATTACCTTGCCTGGCAAGCTATCTTGATTATTTTGTGGGACAAATTCACAATATAAGTTTGAAGTTTTATTAAAAATCTTTATAACTAATAATATGAAGTTTGCTGAATAAATTATATATTATAGTCAATTTGGAGAAGGAATATGTTATTTCATGAAGATTCAATGACTTAACTATTTAGATAAAGTGAAGATAAATTGGTGATAATGAATTTTGTCAGGGAAGAAATAATCCCAGCATCAAGATATTCTGACTTTGTAATAATTGGGTTCATTTCGTTGATTTATTATCAGTTTAATTTTTTTCCCTAGCTTGTAGTGGTATGATAGCTGCAGGGGAGATTACTCCAATATTACCAGCTATTGGAGAAAAGGTGCCTGAAAATTTAACCAAGTATTTTTTAGATGCTCTGTTGGCATGCTTAGTGTCAGAGGTAAGTTATGTAACAAATTTTAATAAAATGTGAGTCACTTGAAGATTAAAGAAGTAAATTTTTGGTTTTTAAAAAGAAAAAGAAAAACACAAATACCCCATTTGCTTTGCAAGTAATAAAAATTAAAGGGATTGTAAAGAGGTTTTTATATTTTTTATGTGTATCGTGAACACTGAAAGCAACAATTTGCACCATTCCACATTTCAGTCAGACATCTGTGTTTCCCACAATTCCACTTAATCTAACTGTTTAAAGATGTCACTAATCTCAAAGAGCCTTCTGTGATAAAGCATATTTTGTGATTAGTGAGGTCATCGTATACCTAAAGAATTGCAGGAACCTCAGACGTCTGATTTGAATTGTGAAAACTTCTGTCATCGATAGATTCACATAAAAAATTTAGAAAACATCTTTATAATCCCTTTAATGGCGCTGTTCTGGGGAAATTCAAGGAATGGCTGAGCCCTTCTTTACTTACCCAATCAGGTGCAGAAACATACTACATAAATCCACGCTTTAAGTCACTCTAGGCCAGGGTCTTCATCTCAAAAACTAAGATGATATTAGTGTTCCAGTACATAAACTGGATTATATTTTAGCCAAGTTTTTGAAAATAATTTTCCATTATTTGCTAGGTGGTGAAGATAGAATGGATAAATAAAGAAATGAAGGAGAACAGTTTTATCTTTTTATTTAGTAAATTTAAACAGTTTTATTTACCTTGGCTGTTGCCTGACTTTCAACGTTCCCGTGATATTTATGAACCATCATTAGGTAAGTTTGTGATATTTATGAACCTTCATTAGGTAAGTTTGTGATATTTATGAACCTTCATTAGGTAAGTTTGTGATATTTATGAACCATCATTTGGTAAGTTTGTGATATTTATGAACCATCATTTGGTAAGTTTGTGATATTATGAACCATCATTAGGTAAGTTTGTGATACTTATGATCCTTCATTAGGTAAGTTTGTGATATTTATGAACCTTCATTAGGTAAGTTTGTGATATTTATGAACCATCATTAGGTAAGTTTGTGATATTTATGAACCATCATTTGGTAAGTTTGTGATATTTATGAACCATCATTTGGTAAGTTTGTGATATTATGAACCATCATTAGGTAAGTTTGTGATACTTATGAACCTTCATTTGGTAAGTTTGTGATATTTATGAACCATCATTAGGTAAGTTTATGATATTTATGAAACATCATTAGGTAAGTTTGTGATATTTATGAACCATCATTAGGTAAGTTTGTGATATTTATGAACCTTCATTAGGTAAGTTTGTGATATTTATGAACCTTCATTAGGTAAGTTTGTGATACTTATGAACCTTCAATTGGTGGGTTTGTGATATTATTAAACCTACATTTGGTGGGTTTGTGATATTTATGAACTTTCATTAGGTGGGTTTGTGATATTTATAAATTTATGTTAATCTCTCACTATAGGGATTAAAGGGATTCAGTTGTCTAGATATTTGCTTCAGCAGCTAAAGGAGAACAGATTCAGCTAACTTTTCAGAATTAGAATACAAAATCTGGTTTTCCTTCAAAAATTTACAGCACTAATTTAGACTATTGTCACTTTTAGGCACTAATTTATTGCCTATGATGTCATATTATTGGTAATAACTGCACATGAAGATATTAATAATACCCTAGAAATGGTAAAAGTCCAAATTGACTGAAGACTTAATTTTTTTCTCTTTTAGATTTACCTCGGATACGTACCATGGATGAAATGGGTAGATTAGATTATCCAGCCAATGTCTCAGAATGTCGTGATTCATTTATTCTGTGGCTGGCCAACTTCACCTTGATGAGTAAAAAACCTTCAGCTAATTCTCAAAACAAGTTGGTATTTTTTCTTTATAGTGTGTTATAAAAGTTCCTCTTACAAGTAGATTTATCGGGTGACCCAGAAAAACCCATAACACTTTTAATTTCAGGATTATTCATTAAATGTCAAAGTTTAGACCAATGATATTTTGACCTCATGTTGAAGAGACATTAGACATCTATAAGACATGACCTTAATCAGTCTTTGTTCATCAGTGGACTTACCTGGTGTCATAGCTAAACAGAATCCCTCCATAATTCAATAAATCTATAGAACTAAGTAATAATTCATTAAACTAAGTAATAATTCATATAACTGAGTAATAACTCATATAACTGAGTAATAATTCATAAAACTACTTAATAATTCATAAAACTACTTAATAATTCATAAAAGTAAGTAATAATTCATAAAACTAAGTAATATTTCATAAAACTAAGTAATATTTCATTAAAGTAAGTAATGATTTATTAAACTGAGTTTTTGAAAAATGCTTAGAAGCGTGCTTCAATAATTATTCAGTTTAATGGATATATCTTGTTATAAAGAGATTCTATTCTTTAGTCATGGTACCTGGTAAGTCCAACTGATGAATATATACACAGTTTGAGACTTTTATGTCCGTTTTAAGAGGTAGTATCCTTTAATAACATATAAGCTGACCCTATCAATTCTTATTTCATCTTTAGGTCATATTTTCCACCATTACTACCAGACAGTCATTCTACTACTAGTGTAACTGATGAAGAGAAAAGAGAGAGTACTGAAGATCAGCCTGATAATGCTGGTCCTAGTCGTGATGCTACTGGTATTCAGTATTCTGAGAAGGATATAGTCACAATAGGTCATGAAGAACATAGTCTATCAGAGTATGAGATAGTACGCTCTGTTCTCTTCTCCACAAGAGAAAATGTCAACATTGTTCATGAATGTTTCAGACAGGTAGGCATTACAATTTTTATTCGCCCATATAAAATAGGGGGCATATATTGATTTCACCTGTGTCCGTTCGTCTGTCTGTCCACAATTGCTCGTAAACATTCAAGAAGGCACAATTCTTGACAGATTTTGACGAAACTTGGTATGAGTGTTCGTAATCACCCAAGGATGAACCCTATTAAAAATCAGAAAAATCAGAAAATATTTAGTACGAGTTATTGCCCTTGTATTTGTAATTGTGTTCAATTTTTTCTCGTAAACACTCTAGAAGACACAATTCTTGACGAATTTTGATGAAACTTGGTGTGAGTGTTTGTTATCACCCAAGGATTGAAGCTTATTGAAAATCAGACAAATTAAAAAAATATTTTGTGTGAGTTATTGCCCTTGTTCTTGAAGACATGTTCCAGAAAAGTAGGACATAAAACTCCATAAATTTCATTTCATTAAATTTAAAAACCCGTTGAATTTTTGCTCGTAAACACATGAAAGCTTAATTCTTGCGCGATTTTGACAACCCTTGGTAATATTGTTCAATATCACCTCAAAAAGTTCAAAAGAAGTATATGTGTGAAGGTTGTGAACATTAAAACTGATTGGCTTAGCTAAAAAAATTTCCAGTTTCTGAAACTAAAGTATGATGCTCTAAACAAAAATGGCGCATCTGTTCTTTTAAGAGATCTAATTGAATGGATTATGACTACCATAGTTCTTGCCCATAATGACTATTTGTATATATATATATTAATCTATTTCAGGCATTGTTATTCTCCTTTAGACATGCGGATGCTATGAGGGTGGTTATTACAGTATATAAAGAATGGTTTCAGGTATTTCAAATATTACTATGGTATATAATAACAGATATATATACTCTATATGTAAACTGTATATATCATTACAATATATGATATTTATATTCTCTCAGCTGTAATATCCAAATTACATACACAGATATTTCATGCCTTATTCAGTGCATTTGACACTATGACAAAAAATAGAATACTTCTGGTTGCCTTAATGTAAAGCCTATTTCTATGTCCATTTGCAAAATATCAAGAAAATTTGTGGCCAATAGTTGAAGATCATTTCTGTTTGAAGCAATATTTAATCGTCTGAATATCAGTAGCACTGTTAAGTGTTTAATTCTCACTTACTGTTCTGCATCAATTCAACAAACCTCTACCTTGAGAATGTGGAGTCTCATGATTTCAAAGCATTATTATCCTTATTATGGGCTGTAACTGTCAACTACAAAAATGTTAATAATAAAATAGAATTGGCAACTTAAAAACTTTCACACTATATTGTTTATGAATTGCTACACAACCAGATTTCAGATTTGATTTTGAAAAGTCTATGGAATTTTCAGAGGATTAATGTAAAGATCCATATGAAACGAAAAATTAAAATTTTAAGGGTGATCTTAAATTTTGTCCATGACAACATTCAGTAACTTGGAATTCAAAAGCAATTTTTTTTTCACAATGTTAAAAATTCTCCTTAAAAATGTAGACATAGGCTTATGTTACTATTCAGAGCAAATTGGTAGAAAGTCTTTACATAATTATTTGAGTTTTATTGTTATTGGCTTTTACTAGTTGCACAATATGATTTGATTTAATTTTTCTTTGCATGCCTTTGTTTGAATTTTTAAGCGTTGTTTTTATTAACATGTTAATATTGAGATAATCAAACAAAGATATTTATGTTCCTCTGAAGGTTAAAATATTTAGAAAATCATCTGTCATATGTGATATCCTCATGATATGAACAACGAAAAAACTTATTATTAAAGGGACAGATGCGCCATTTCTTTTGACCAATCATACTTTAGCTTCAGAGACAGGAATTTTTTAGCTTAGCCAATCAGTAATTGTGTTCACAGCTCACTGTCCCCATCGAAATTTAAGCCTTCAAATTTATGTGTGTCTAGAATTATTCATGTTTGAATGTTAAAATGACAACTCATGTAACGGAAAAGTGAGTAAAATTAATAGTTTGGAGTATTTTTAAAGGAATTATGTGATTTTCATTATATTTTAGTACTTCTGATTACTATTTGCATATATTCATTACTAAGATAAAACCCCCCAAAATGGCACATCTGTCCCTTTTATTCCCAAAAAAAAAAAATGCTGGTACATATGTCAACCTGAGGTATGAAATTGCATAAATATCCTTGTTCGAGTTTGATAACTGTGGGAAAATAAATTGGCATTATAACTTCAATGTTACTCTAGCCAATGTTGAATCAAGACAAAAACAAACCCCTTTTAATTAGTAACCACCTTTTCATCCCATTAGTTTTTCTTTACGTCCATTTTGGATTTGTATTTCTAAGAGTATCTAGAATATTATCTAACCAATAATTTAGTGATTTGTATATTTGATGTGTATTTGCATCTTGTCAAATTGCTCAATTGTTGAAAATAGATTCATTTAAAATCAAATCCAAAAAAGTCATATGAGGTGCAGAGAACCCAATTCTATATTTAGCTTCTGCAATATTGCTTAAGAACAATTCTGGGTTATGAACTGAACTTGTTGAAAGCAATATTTCCTAAAACAGGTTAAGATGACAACATTTTTTTATCACAAGCAGCGTTCCATTGTTCCATCTAATTAGCATGCGCATGAATTAATATTGGTGCATATTTTTTCCCATTAATTAGCATGTAGATAAACGACCAGTATTTATGTGTGAACCATTGAGTGAACTAGAGTTATCTGTAAGAGATGGTTCACCAAATCAATTGTACAGTAGTTTATCTGATATCGTGGAGGAAGGTTCATCTGATGTACGTATCATTTCATGCATTCATATCATATATAATCATAATATATCATGTACATAAATATATTTCATCATGTACATAAATATAATTTAATCATGTACATCAATATATTTCATCATGTACATAGATATATTTCATCATGTACATAAATATATTTTGTCATGTTCATAAATATATTTCATCATGGACATAATATATTTCATTATGTACATGATATATTTCATCATGTACATGATATTTTTCATCATGTACATGATATATTTCATTATGTGCATAATATATTTCATCAGGTACATGATACATTTCATCATGTACATGATATATTTCATCATGTACATGATATATTTCATCATGTACATGATATTTGTATGACTTTATGACTGTGACCAAATTACTGTATTACCATTTGACTGTGACTAAATTACTGTATGGCCGTATGACTGTGACCAAATTACTGTATGACCGTATGACTGTGACCAAATTACTGTATTACCATTTGACTGTGACTAAATTACTGTATGGCCGTATGACTGTGACCAAATTACCGTGTGTGTGAACGTATTACTGTGACCAAATAACTGTGTGACATGTGACCCATTTGAATGTAAAGTACCAGATATTTTTAAATATGTTGTTAAAAATTGACACATAAACTATTTTCCTTTTCGTGCTTTTCATACTGTTTAAGCTTATCTTTTCCTGGTTTTATTTCTATTTTCATTTCTCTTTGCTCAATTTAGACACAAGAGACGTTTTTGGGGTATTTAAATTGTGTTTTTGATGATTTGATAAGAAATGATAAGAATAAGAAATGTCTCTTATCCGGAAATTAGTTTTGCTTCACCAATTCTTGGCATTTTAAAGCTCCTTAGATAAATTGTTGATTTTATCCAATGCAAGCCATAATTATCTTTGTTCATATTTTAACATTTTGATGCACAAAGTTTTGATTTGCATGATTTTGTTTTGTTGATGTTCCTTTTTATTAACATGTTCAAGCTTTTGATTTGTCCAATGAGCAGACACATTTATATGCCATAGTTTGAATTTGCAGAACATTATGTTTCCCAGAACTTGCTCCAAATTATTTGATAATAGTACAATAGTAGGCGTTTTGTGTCAAAGAAATTTTCAAATTCAGTTATTAAGAATGCACTCTGCTTAATGTTCATCTGATCTGGTCAAAATATTACTATTGAAATTTTATTGTTTATAAATGAACTATGTAAGTGCTTAGTGATGTTATTCATATCAATCTTCAGGAATCACCTAGTTCCAGTAATTTATCAGTGGCACGACAAGGATTGTTTCCTGAAGTTCTAGACAAGCCACGGTACATCAGGAATGCATCATATCTTGGTGCTGTACAGGAATTAGCTGACGAGGGAAGTGAAAATCGCCAGTTTGATGTTCGAGCTGGTTTACAGAGGATATTACAAGTGTTTATAACCAACTCAGCTAATATCTTTCTATTAGAAACTACTGATGACAGTTCACTACAGGAACAGGTATTTATCATCAGTTTATTTTATAACCAACTCAGCTAATATCTTTCTATTAGAAACTACTGATGACAGTTCACTACAGGAACAGGTATTTATCATCAGTTTATTTTATAACCAACTCAGCTAATATCTTTCTATTAGAAACTACTGATGACAGTTCACTACAGGAACAGGTATTTATCATCAGTTTATTTTATAACCAACTCAGCTAATATCTTTCTATTAGAAACTACTGATGACAGTTCACTACAGGAACAGGTATTTATCATCAGTTTATTTTATAACCAACTCAGCTAATATCTTTCTATTAGAAACTACTGATGACAGTTCACTACAGGAACAGGTATTTATCATCAGTTTATTTTATAACCAACTCAGCTAATGTCTTTCTATTAGAAACTACTGATGACAGTTCACTACAGGAACAGGTATTTATCATCTTTTTATTTTATAACCAACTCAGCTAATGTCTTTCTATTAGAAACTACTGATGACAGTTCACTACAGGAACAGGTATTTATCATCTTTTTATTTTATAACCAAGTTATTTTATAATCAGTAGACTATAGAAACTACTTTTGACTATCCTGAATACTAATTTTAGCCTTTTTGTATTATGTGTGAGAGCCTACACCTGGCCGACTCTCAGAAGCACTGGCTTAGGCATCAGAATTTTTCTTACCTTGAGGAGGGTACAAACCCATGGCACTTTATCGACTTGCACATGACAATTTAACTCGCTAACGACTAAGCTTTTATTTAAGGTGACGAGTAGTAAGATATGAAACTGCTTTGTTTCAATTTATCGTGTTTTATTTTTTAGGTTGATCTTTGTAAAAGAGTACTTAACATATATAGATATTTAGTGATGCATGTGACTCTTAATCAGAATACTTGGTAAGATATATCATTAATTACATTTTATTTGTGATGACAACTCTTACTTTCCTTGATCTTATTGAAGATAATGACTTTTATATATCTTATTGAAGATAATGACTTTAATAGATCTTATTGAAGATAACGACTTTAATAGATCTTATTGAAGATAATGACTTACATTGATCTTATTGAAGATAATGACTTTAATAGATCTTATTGAAAATAATGACTTTGATAGATCTTATTGAAGATAATGACCTTCATTGATCTTATTGAAGATAATGACTTTCATTGATCTTATTGAAGATAATGACTTTAATAGATCTTTTAGAAGATAATGACTTTCATTGATCTTATTGAAGATAATTACTTTCATAGATCTTATTGAAGATAATGATTTTCATAGATCTTATTGAAGATAATGACTTTCCTTGATCTTATTGAAGATAATGACTTTAATAGATCTTATTGAAGATAATGACTTTCCTTGATCTTACTGAAGATAATGACTTTAATAGATCTTATTGAAGATAATGACTTTAATAGATCTTAAAGAAGATAATGACATTATTTATCTTATTGAAGATAATGACTTTAATAGATCTTATTGAAGATAATGACTTTAATAGATCTTATAGAAGATAATGATTTTCATAGATCTTATTGAAGATAATGACTTTCATTGATCTTATTAAAGATAATGACTTTCCTTGATCTTATTGAAGATAATTACTTTCATAGATCTTATTGAAGATAATTACTTTCATAGATCTTATTGAAGATAATGGCTTTCCTTGATCTTATTGAAGATAATGGCTGTAATAGATCTTATTGAAGATAATGACTTTCACTGATCTTATTGAAGATAATTACTTTCATAGATCTTATTGAAGATAATGACTTTCATACATCTTATTGAAGATAATGACTTTCATACATCTTATTGAAGATAATGACTTTCATTGATCTTATTGAAGATAATGACTTTCATACATCTTACTGAAGATAATGACTTTCATACATCTTATTGAAGATAATGACTTTCATACATCTTATTGAAGATAATGACTTTCATACATCTTATTGAAGATAATGACAGTGATGTATGCACAGACTGTAGATCAGTTGATTAATGAATTGAAATATTTACATCATTGTTTAGATTTCTTGAATGTAAACGAGGTTTTTGTTTTTAACTATAACTAGATGATATTATTCATATTCTCTGTTACAGGGAGCAGTTATTGGTTGTGTTGTTGAGAGTTACTTCAGGCGTGTTGAAATCATCTCCACCATCAGAAAGACATAAAAGTTTAGGTGGAAGACTAGCACAGCCTATATTTCAGGTCAGAATTAAATTTAGTAATACACTATGTTGATATTATTCTATGATTAGCCAAACCTCCATCAGCTCACAAAAAGTGTGAATGGCATTTAATGAAAATAGCTTAAATTGTTCATGACACTCAAATTTGAACCTTTGCAAATTTGAGAATTAAATTAAAGAACTAAAAGTTACAAGCAAATGAAATCCATAAGAATTGACTACTCTCTCCCATTTCCAATGAAAATTGATAAATCTGTACAAAATGTGTACAAAAAGAGGATGAATTATATACAATTTACATTATTTTGAAGTTAGTACATACTTCTCCTTTAAAGTTATCATGAACTAATTCTTTTTTTTGTAGTAAGTACATACTTCACCTTTAAAATTATCATGAACTAATTGCAAATTCTGAATTAGAAGTTGGTACATACTCCACCATTAAAATTATCATGAACTAATTTCGGACTCTGATGTAGAAGTTAGGGTATACTCCACCTTGTAAAATGATAATAATCTAATTTCAGACTTTAATTGTAACATGGATTAAGGCTAATCTAAATGTAATGATACCTGTCAGTTTATGGAATGATTTCTTACAATCTTTATCTTCTCTGACATCTTGGATAGAAGTGGTTAAAGAATGGGCCGTAAGTCTTATTAAATTATTAAATTATGTCACAATTTAAAGAAAAAACTTATTTAATCATAGATTTCTTGTATGGCAATAAGAATAACAGAAAGAAACTACTATATTTTGCAAGGTTGATAACTTAGGTTCACACAGAATCCTTTCTACCAGCTGATTCTTGGTCAAACCTCTTGACTTTGACTTTTGCCAAATTCACGCTACCCATTTACAGCTGGCAGACTGCTATTATAGGTGAAGATGACTTATTCAAGGTCATCAGACTTTCACATGCTGTCCCAGATTAGAACCCATAACAACCATTAGTTTGATGAAACGGAAACGATTCCATTTAAAGAACCAAAGCTTTAACTGGCTGTTCTAAAGAATCTGATATAAACCTGCAAAAAACACAAAATTAAACATCCAGTAATTAAATTGCTTGAGATTTGGTGAATAATAAACATAACATAATTCTTCACTTGAGGTAGCCAAGTTGATAATTACCTATAGATCACAGATCAACAGATTAACATCTCAATCAGACCGCATTCATATCAGATTGTCAGGAAAATGAAGTAATATTTTCTGTTTTAGAAAACTATGGAAACATTGACTCGTGTGTTAGCTAATCAAGTATATGGTCTACATCTAAATGATTTACCTCTAGAAAGATTGAGTGAACAGAAAGAGAAACGAAAGAGAGGAAAGGGTAAGTTTCTTCTGGTCTCTGGAATCGGCAGGAATTAACAAGAATTTCAAAATTTGTTTTTGATTGTCAGGATGGAGTCGTCATTTTAACATTCAAATGCGGATAATTCTGGACACACATGGATTTGAAGGCTCAAATTTTGACTGATTGGCATAGCTAAAAAAAATCCCATTTTTGAGACTAAAGTATGATTGGTCAAAAAGAATGGTGCATCTGTCCCTTTAAATAGTCAATCAAACAGCTGTGGGTCTTGCAATTCCAGAAAATCTAAGCATTTTATGAAGTCGCTATCATAAAAGCTGCTGTTAATAATTCAATATAGAAATCATAATTGGCGATACACATTAAGTGTTAAGATGATTTGAAAAGTCCCCAGAAATTGAACTGTTGTCAGGAGTTTTAGGTATTAAGGGGTGAAAGCTGACACTGGGGTGACTCTTGGAAGCACAGGCACAGGCATCTTGTCTTGAGGAGGATTTAAATCCACTGCACCTAATAGCCTAGCAGACAATAATCCAACTTGCTACAAACTGAGCTATTCCACTGCCATTAAATATGGATTTCAAACAATATGGTCACAGTCCTGAATATTTCCATATCACTTGTTACCTAGATGTTATTACTAAGAGATGTTCATATTTTAGAATTGAGATCAAGATCAGTAAGTGATAAAGGATTTTCAAGAAGTTGGGGAAGAAATGAATCAGGTAGTGGTCTACGTGGGTCCACCAATTCAGCTCCAGGTGCAGAATCACCATTTGAACGTGGTAAATACCGCAGTGATGGAAGTGTCAAATCTAGACATGAACTTCATAAACAGAGGTCATTGAGCGGTGAGCCATCACCAGCACATTCTAGAAATGGTTCTGATCCATCTGAGATTATGATCAGAAGCAGCAGTGAAGGCAATATTGCCGACCCTAGAGAACTACTGGAAAAACTAAGAGGTAAGACTGCATTTTTTCAGTTAATGTTGTTTTTAATCTTGCATGACTAAAAGTTCTGGAGGAGAGCTCTTACATACCAGTCCTAAAGTGATCACTCTGTAGAAACTCTTAAAGATTTTGGCAATTTCCTCCTTTGAGTTCCTCCAGAATTTCTTGACAGTTGTCAGATACAGAAATGAACTACTTGAGAAGACTTTACTTTATTTTGAGATGGCTGTTTGAGTTGCAATATACATGGATACAAAATCGATTCTTTCAATTGACACTTATCCACCTTAAAAGGATTGTAGGATTTTGTACGTGTGTCGGGGATACTGATAGCATCAATTTGCACCATTCCAATTTTAAGTCAGATGTTTGTGCTTCCACTAAAACTAAGTGTTTTATGATGTCACCCCAGCAAAGGTCTTATGTGATAGAAGCAAATTTCATGATGATGTCTTAAAACACTTAGTTATTAGTGGAATAGCAGGAACCACATATGTCTGATTGACAATTGGAATGGTGCAAATTGATGTTATCAGTGTCCCTGATACGCATAAAAAATGTAGAAAACCTTTTTACAATCCCTTTAATTGGACTTTTTGTAAAATAAAGCAGATTAACCTACCCTGCTCAACTACTTTCCAACTTTCCATGTTCAAAGCCAAACAATTGCCCCCTTGCCCATAAAGTCAATCTGTAAATTGGAATGAAATCGTTATGTGATAGATTTGGCTGTTATTTTTACTAATTAATGCTTTGTAGAAGATAACTGTTGGTCTAAATGTACAAAGCATGGAAGTAGTCTTTGTTTTAATTTTTTGCTTAAAATCTGTTTTCAATAAACTTTTTTGGTATTCAGTTAATTTTCGTCTATACATGATCATGAAGGAAAATTCTGCAAGTTAAAAATGTGGAATATGCCTTGTTAACACTCACAAATTAGGTGTCTGTGTTATGCCATCTCCAACTTCAAATTTTTCGTCAACAAGGGGTGTGCTATATATGGGGTGTAAATGGATTTTTCCAGATATGATGGGGTAAGGAAGGAGTGCACATTATATTCGGAAATATAGGGTAAATAACAAGGAATATGAGAAACCAAAAAATTATGAAAAAAAATCTTGAGTCTTTGATGATGAAAGTTATTTTCGAAATATTGCCTTATCACATTAGTGTTATATTGTACTGTGAAAACTCCATTAGCTGTTACCAATATTTCGTCAATATGTTTAGGGTTTCGTTTTGTGGTTTGGATCGTTAGTACTTGGTTTATTTATTGTATATACACCTCATCATATTGCATTGATTGAAAAGCTGTTATGTCAATATGTTTAGGGTTTCGTTTTGTGGTTTGGATCGTTAGTACTTGGTTTATTTATTGTATATACACCTCATCATATTACATTGACTGAAAAGCTGTTACGTCAATATGTTTAGGGTTTCATTTTGCGGTTTGGATCGTTAGTACTTGGTTTATTTATTGTATATACACCTCATCATATTGCATTAATTGAAAAGCTGTTACGCCAGATTTCTGAAATTCAAGCTTCAAAATAAATACTGGTTAAAAAGATTATTGAAAACAGGAATGTGCTTCCATTTTACCTTGTTTAGACCAATGTCTATTCTTTATTGTGCATGATTTATTTGACTGATTTAGGAACAAGTTTTGAGAAAGAAGATAATAATAATACCAGCATGTCTACTGCATGTCATCATTCTTCTTCATCTCCCCATACATTACCTCCATCAGGTAAGTCCATACCACCAAAACACAAGAATTAAGTATCTTGAAATGATAAAATTTCCCCTGTACTCCATATCGGAGCCCCTTTATATTGATATTTTTTTTTTACATTTTCCCTCTTCTCTTCTTTTTTTGTTCTATACTGAGATCCCTGTGTAAAGAGGTTTTCTAAATTTTTTATGTGTATCAGATGTCTGTCTTTCTTGCAATTCCACTAAAACTAAGTGTTATTGACGACACCAGTAGTGTGATTACCAGTAGTTGCTTATGGTTTTGAATAATGGCAGTGGTCATGACTCCCAAACTAAACTCACAATTCAGTGATTCAAGTAATATTAGAGGGACAGATGCACCATTTAGGGGGTCGATTTTATTCTTGAATATATCTGAATAGTATTCAGAAGTACTAGAAATGTACGAAAATCACATCATTCCTTTAGAAATATTTCAAACTTGGAATTTTACTCTTTCTATGTATGTTTTTTTCTATAAGCTTATATCACAGAGTATGTGTCATCATTTTAACATTCAAACGACTCACATGGATTTGAAGGTTCAAATTTCAACAGTGAACTGTGAACACTAATACTAATTGGCTTACCAAAAAAATTCCAGTTTCTGAGACTAAAGTATGATTGGTCAAAAAAAAAAAAATGGTGCAACTGTCCCTTTAATTAGATCCCAGAGTAAATTATATTTTATTGATACCCAGTTAATGCATCTACCACCATGATTATATTTACAGGAGCTACAGCAGCAATGGAAGATGATGAAGTTGCTCGTATCAATACCACCAGTACATGTACAGCGGAGCTAACATCAGGGCAATATTTACAGTGTACCCCAGATAATAATAGTCTAGAAAAATCAGACTATGATCCTTTAACATCTAGAGGTAATTGTAACTCAGTCAATTTCCTGATAAAGATTTTTTCATATTCTGAATTTCATATAATTTTTCTATATGATTCTTGTGTTGTGATAGAGTTGCTTATTAGTATTTACATCATCTGTTTTTTGGCCTGAGCACATAATACACATGTGTTATCAAGTTACAGTTATAATTGAGGTTACAATGCTACACCTTCCAGTATGGCTGGGTGATATACCAGTATCACGATAAATACCTGTATAGTAATTTAAATCGCCTGATTAAAAAATACCGAATTTTTGCCATATTGTGATATATGGTACTTATCCTGATATAACCTCAATTTTTTGTGCAGAAAAGATTATCTGTACTATTTTAACAAGTAACAAAAACTGGGTTTTTTTTTTATTATATTCAAGACTGCGGTGTTTTTAAGAGATATTCATGCATTTCAAGTTTTTAGATATAAAAAGAAATAGTTTTCAAAACCAGTAAAAACCAAGTCTAAGAAATATCAAGCTATATACCCATATCGTGATATATTAATGCTAGATATTGTGATATCCACTTGAACCGCTATTGCCCAGCCCTACCTTCCAGAACACCTTATGCCATTTTGCTACTAGTTCTCGACCACCGTTAGCGTTTTTAGTCTATTCCACCTATGCCGTAATGACATCTGACATATTTTTGTTTCTATCTTTAGTGTCTAGAACACCATCTCCAGTGTCCATGAGATCTAAATCTGTATCACGTACCCCCTCACCTACCTGTGAAATATTACCTCAGAAAGATAGTCCCACACCTGATAGAGATAGTTTACATATTGACATGATGGCTGGAGCTGATGAAGATGCTAGACCAGAAGGTAAGCTCAGGATGTAGAAAACAGTAGGATAACTCTAGGAGAGTTCTCAGGTGTTCCCATTCTACTAGCCTTGCATAGTTGTAAAACAGTGAGAATTAGAAGTTGCTTGTAATTGGTGCTACTGTCCTAGAAAAATTTCCATCATTAAACACTGTTCATCTTCATTAGCTTTTAAAGATGCAAAAAGTGATATTTTAACAGCAATTTATTTTTTTGAATTGGTTGCTTTAACATTCCAATGTGCATCATAGATATACCTTAACAGTGCAAAATCAAAAGAGTAGGCTAATTCCCTTCCCTGCCAAATTTCCATTATTGCACACCGCATGGCATTGCTCATATTCAATAGCCAAATCTGTTGTAAATTAGTAGGACATAAAATTCATTCAATAAATTGATTGTTGGTAAATGCTTGTCACTGCTGTTGCAAAACTTTATCATGGCAGTGCTATTCCCCTCAGATGTGCAGAAAAGTAGGACAAATAAATGGAAACTTCATGTAATTTCATTTTATTTCAGATTTTAATGAATCTCGTAGTGTACTGTCTGGTGGTCATGTGACAGGATGGATGCCAGATGTTGCTGTTGTATTGTGGAAGAGAATGATAGGATGTTTAGGCAACATTAATAAAATAGAGGATCCTGCTATACATGCCTCTGTCTTTGAGTACTTAAGTGATCTGCAAGATACAATGTTCAGAGTACGTTTTGATATAGATTTGTTTTTGCACACTTTGATCTGTGTCGATACAATTTGCTGAAATAAAAACACCTCTAATTTCAATATTTGAAGCTCTTCTTTGTTTAAAATATGATGCTACTAATGTGAGGTCTATAATCCCACTAAGATGTGTTATACTATAATTTACTATTATATTGTAGATGAGAGAGAATTTGGGAGTGACGTCTGATAATATGATTTCACCTCAACCTCCAATTTTAATACCAGAACAACATAAATTTATATCATGGTTATTTGAGGTAGGATTTATTTGACAACATTTTCCTATAATTTGTTCTATGTCAGAAATGAAACCAAACAATGCCAAAATGGAAAGCAAGCACAACTGAATGGAACAAGGCAGAACATGACATGACTAACTGAAATAAATAAACATGACTAATAAAGAAAATCAAACATGACTAATAAAGAAAATCAAACATGACTAATAAAGAAAATCAAACATGAAACATGACTAATCAAGAAAATCAAACATGACTAAATGAAATTACCAAACATGACTAATAAAGAAAATCAAACATGACAGATAAAGAAAATCAAACATGACAGATAAAGAAATCAAACATGACCTATAAAGAAAATCAAACATGACTAATAAAGAAAATCAAGCATGACTAATAACAAAAATCAAACATGACTAGTAAACAAAATCAAACATGACTAATACAGAAAATCAAAATCAAACATGACTAGTAAAGAAAATCAAACATGACTTATAGAAGAAAAATCAAACATGACTGATAAAGAAAATCGAACATGACCTATAAAGAAAATCGAACATGACCTATAAAGAAAATCAAACATGGCTGATAAAGAAAATCGAACATGACCTATAAAGAAAATCAAACATGACCTATAAAGAAAATCAAACATGACTGATAAAGAAAATCAAACATGAGTGATATAGAAAATCAAACATGACTAGCAAAGAAAATCAAACATGACAAGTAAAAAAATCAAACATGACTGATAAAGAAAATCAAACATGACAGATAAAGAAATCAAACATGACCTATAAAGAAAATCAAACATGACTAATAAAGAAAATCAAACATGACTAATAACAAAAATCAAACATGACTAGTAAAGAAAATCAAACATGACTAATACAGAAAATCAAAATCAAACATGACTAGTAAAGAAAATCAAACATGACTTAAGAAGAAAAATCAAACATGACTAATAAAGAAAATCAAACATGACAGATAAAGAAAATCAAACATGACTAGTAAAGAAAATCAAACATGGCAGATAAAGAAAATCAAACATGACTAGTAAAGAAAATCAAACATGACTAGTAAAGAAAATCAATCAAACATGACTAGTAAAGAATATCAAACATGACTACGCCTAATAAAGACAAACATAAAGAAAATTAAACATGACCAATAAAGAAAATTAAACATGACAAAATAATGAAAATCAAACATGATCAAATAAAGAAAATCAAACATGAGCAATAAAGCATCAAACATGACTGATTAGGAAAAACAATCAGGAAAGATTTGGTAAAAACATGTTTATTTTCTTTATGTTTCAGTGTATAAAATTAGATGAACGGTATAAAGAAGGAAAGTTGTTTGCATATCAGTTATTATGTCAGATAATGATTCAGAGACATGATATCACTCCCGCTTTAGATATTTTATCACAGTATTATTATATATTACATCATGGTCTACTCTCTTCAGATCAGGTAAGATTCTTATGACTGTGCTTAATCAGATGTTCTGTATTCATGTGGTCCTTTTTATTTGCCCATAAGATGTTGGATTACCTAGAGTACACTGTGTAGTCTTGCAGAGTATTTTTTATACAAATTTAAAGCGGCGGTTGTGCCATTTTAGCTGTGAACACGATTGCTGATTGGCTTAACAAAAAAAAAATTCTGTTTCAGAGACTAAATAAGATTAGTAAAAAAAAAATAGCGCATCTGCCCCTTTAAAAATGATTTGACATTTTTCTATGGTGTTTCAGGATGTAGCTAATGTTTTAATTCGTAATTGTGGAGCCAAGTATTTTAGTTGTCCTCTACCAGCTAGTAGATTATTGATGTTAGATTTTATACAAGCTGCCTCCTCAATTATTACTGCCATGGATGTTAATGAGGTAGGCCTACTATTTTTATCCTTTATGTCTACCATGCTTTTATTCAAAGCTAGTTTACTGTAAGAGGTAGTATCCTTTTAAGAAAAACCAGGAAAGTCAAAACCATAACAAGATCTGGGGTCTGCTCGATTGCTGAGTTCTGCGGGATTTATGGAATCAGCAGAATGTTCAATAAAACAAGTTGGAACAGAGATCAGAATGCATTACACTAATGCGAAAAAAATAGGTGCAGCCAATTCAAAATGACGGAGAAGGAAATTGATGGGAAATTTGGAAGTGACATCTGCTTTCATACCATTTAATTGAGGCCAGAATTGGAACAAACAGAACCTGAACTCTCGAATCGAGCGCCACCTATAAACTAATCATGACCTTATTTTGTTATTGTATTTTCAGCCTCCAAGAGCAGAAGCTGTCTCACTATTAGGATGTTTGATCTGTTTTCCAAATCACTTTCAAGAAATGCCAGTTTTAAAACCTAATTCTGTAGACAGAATTACTTTAACTTGCAATGACATGAAGGTACTTGTTTTTTTTATTATCTTAATGATAACAATATCCTCTTAAGTTATCGTGTCAAAGCCATGCCTCCATTCGGCATACTTCCTCAAGTAATACAAGTGAGAAAAATTACGTATTGATAGCTATATTGTCCAATCAAAATTGAGAAAGAATTTTGGTAAAGAATTGAAGCCAAGAGAAAATCAAACCTTACTTTAGAATATTTACTTAGAAATAATGTGTTCTTATCTCTTCAAATGGGCGGCGGCAAAGTGATGTTGTATTTTGTTTACATTACCTCGTTTCTGGCCTACAGTTCTGATTGGTCAGATTTAAAAAGCACCAATCTCACTTCTTCGGCCATTAAATGAAGTGTAGTGGGCTAAGTTAATAAGACAATGTCAAAACCCGTATTTACGATACGATGCATTGCAGCAAGTCTCCTCCAAACATGTAATTTTTAGCTTTCTACCTTCCGATTCTTTAAGATCAACTCACCCAAGAAATCCATAACTATTAAACATCCACGACAATTAATGATTAACAGTGTACACATCTTATTTTGTATATTTTGTAGAAATTAAATGTATGACTTTATTGTATTTTAGAATCACATCATTGATTCTCTATTAGTAGCAGGTAAACGTGAGCCAGCAGGTCACGCTAGGTAAGAACCATTTTGAAATTCCTGTTTAGTATAAAGATTTCTTCACAGATTGAAAGCAAAAAAAAGCAAATTTTAATGTTAGATGGTTAAGTGAGCTAGGACGCTTGCATAGGTAGAGATAATGTCAGTGTAGCAGGTCAGAGGCAGCCATTTCTTTTGATATAAGAATTTTATTATTAAACGCCTGTGTGTAAATGAGTTGGCTAATGTTGATATTCTGACAAATTTGAATCACTTTTTGACTCTGTGAGCTCAATCACGTGCAGAGGAGTAGAACATAGAATAACATATTCCATTTCTCTAGTAATTCTGCCTCATTGCACACTGCCTGGTATGGACTAGACAGGGTCTCAGGTGCAGAAACTTTACCCCAATATAGTACTCCAATGCTTAAAAAAAGCTCTGAGATGGAAAGTTGAAATTAAGCTCTGACAGCTGATGGAGTAAATACTAAGCTGCCTACTGACCAGCAATTACATGTATGATGTATATCTATGTTTATTGTTGATTATAGATGTATAGCTGTTAGTAGTATTGGTATATTTCTATATGAAGAATTAACACATGGTACATTACATCCTAAAATAAAAGATGGTATTGATATATTATTGGCAGCGTTAAAGGTATGGAAAATCAAGACACTAAATAGATTACTCAACTTCCTTGTTTCATTTGTTTTTTCTTTACAAGGATAACGGCTTTGGTTCACAAGGATCCTACCAGCTGGTCCTTGGCCAGGTCTCTTGGTCAGCTGGAGTAATGATGAAAAATGATTTGTTCATGGTTACCAGACTTGAACAGGCTAACAGATTAGAACACACAACCACCATTTTGTGGATAACAACTTGGGTTCACAAGGATCCTTTTTACAAGCTGGTCCTTGGTCAGGTCTCTTGGCTGGCTGGAGTAATGATGAAAGATGATTTGCTGAAGGTTACCAGACTTGAACAGGCTGACTGAGATTAGAACACACAACCACCATTTATTGCACAAAGTCAAGCAAATGATGTTATGTTTAGGATCCGATGTCTCTAACCAACAGTGCTATAAAACCTCTCAAATTTGAATTAGCATTAGCTTTTAACTTAGTCAAAATTGGCTGACATTTAAATTTGGACCCGTTTTGATGAGTGTACAAAGTACATTTGGATAACATCATTTAGATAACATCATTTTGGTTAACATCACTTGGATAACATCATTTGGTTAACATCATTTGTTTAACATTATTTGGATAACATTTGGATAACATCATTTGGTTAACAACATTTGGTTAACAACATTTGGATAACATCATTTGGTTAACATCATTCGGTTAACAACATTTGGATAACATCATTTGGATGACATAACATCATTTGCTTATAAATCTTACAAGAGTTCAATTTTCCATCATTTGACATCAATTTTGTAAAGGCAATACAGTTAATCTTATTAGAAATGCCTCAAGCTCCTTACTCTTATCTGTTTTCACTAGCCCACATGGTGCAGAAAAGTAGGACCTAAAACGCCATTATTTTCAATCAATTGCTGATCTAGTGGCATCTTCAATTTTCACGACATTTGGAAACAATTTTGTATAGGCCATACAGTTATCTTATTCCTTTATATTTCAGTGTGTGAATCGTAAAGTAGCAAAAGTGGCATCTGATATGTTAATGTTGTTATGTGATCATACAGATAAACTACTCAATTACCATTCTCATTTACCCAAAAAAATAGTTGAGGTGAGCTTCTTCTTTATCTTTTACATGAAGTTTGTGTCTCTGTAATGAGAGGAGAGAGCCACGCCGGATCAGTGAGTGAAACACTTGTTTGCTAACCTGAAGGTCCAGGGTTCAATCTCAAGCATAGGTCGGGATAATAACTTTGGATTTTTGAATCGGGTTTCCTACTGTCAGTGATGTAGGTACAAGGGGCTGTCACATCATTCAGATCTGATCGCCTCAGAGAGACACCTCTCATTTTTGGCCTTTCCCTCAGGCATTTTCTAGATACACCCCTGCACTAGAAAACTGAAATCTGAAACACTAAATTTACATCATAACAAATCTGATTGTTATAAATAAAGAATAACAAAATTTGTCTCTGGTCATTAAAGGGACAGGTGCACCATTGTTTTTGACCAATCATACTTTAGTCTCATAAACAGGGATTTTTCAGCTAAGCCAATCAGTGATAGTGTTCACAGCTCATTGAGCCTTTATATCCATGTGTGTCTAAAATTATCCCTGTTTGAATGATATAATGACGTATCGTCAATTTAATATGTGATATATAGAAAAGACATATATAGAAATAGTGATCAATATTCGGTTTAAGATATTTTTAAAGGAATTATGCGATTTAAATATATTTCTAGTACTTCTTGAGACTACTTACATATATTCAGGACCAAAATCTATGGCACACCTATCCCTTTAAGTTCTTCTAAAATCATTTCATTACCTACATTTATTATGATTTATTACAGGTGATTGTTTCTACAATATCAGGGTTACTAGGGCATCATGAGAACTCTTCTACAGAAGAAGAAAAGAGGGTAAGATTTAGTACCTTTTCTTTTCCCAGCAACTTTTTTCATGTCAGAGAATATAGCCTAAATAAATAAAACAGCTTAAATTGTAATTGTCCAAAAACTACAAAGCACCACATTACCTTCCAAAATTATCAAAATTTCCCTTTTTGGTATAAATACTCAAGGATATTCATATGATTTCAAAATAAGCTAATATGTGATAGGAATCTATGTGTAGTTCATTCCCTTCAAAGGTGTCCTGATCCTATCAGAAGTACCTTTTCCTCTTAGCCCAGCCCAGCTGCACCATAGAATATAGAGTTATCAATCATCAAGTGAAAATTCAATCTCTTTGTCTTGTTTTTCCAGTTGATAGTATTAATGATGTTCAATCTAATTGAGTGGTGTATAAAGATACCAATACACCTGTTGATGGAGACTACAGATACTGATAAAAGTTGTTTATATAAAGTTTTCAGGGTATGTTAGAGCTCTGGGTTTTTTGTGAACTTGTTGACCTTTATATTTACTCTATAAACTGTTGATTGATTTGACAATGTTCTTTCGATCTTAACAAAGAAATATTCTGCTAATTTGAAGATGCCAGAAGCAGTAAGCATAGGATCCAAAGTTTTTTTGCTTCAAGCAGAATTCCCACACCACTTGGCCATGCAGCCGATGTCCCACCACATCCTAAGCTATTCCATTGTCCAGTGGCATCTTAAACCAGTATCCAGTATAGAGCTTTCACAAATCAACAAATTATGTAAAAATTTCTCTCAATTTCCAGGTTCTTCATGCAGCAGTGACTGGTCATAGTTCTACCTCTCTACCACGTAGTGCAAACTCACTCTCAGATTTCATGTCAGACTCTGATTTTAACAACGTCACTGATTCACATTCACCCACCATCAACAGTTCACCAAAAAGCTACGCATCAGATTCAGTTCTTGAGGAACAAATTTTGAAGACTCCTGATACACCCAATGTGTTTGATCAACCACGTCAGCCACCTGAGACCGATATTGTTAAACTTGCTGCCAGAACGGTGAGTAATTGTTCAAATTGCAGTTGACATATAAAGTAATTATTCTGGTACTGCTAGAATAGTAATATTGCTAGTAATTGTTCAGAGTACTACTAGAACTGTGAGTAATTGTTCATCTTCTGCTAGAACAGTGAGAAATTGTTCAAATTGCTGTCAGACAGTAAGTAATTGTTCAGCATGCTGCTAGAATGTTGAGTAATTGTTCAGCATACTGCTAGATTGTAAGTAATTGTTCACCTTCTGCTAGAATACTAAGTAATTGTATACTTCCGATAGTGATTGTTCATTTTCTCCTGGAAAGGTGAGTAATTGTTCACTGTCTCCTGGAATGATAGCACATTCTCCTGGAATGATAGCACATTCTTCTGGAATGATACAGTCTGCTAGTATGGTAAGTAATTGTTCACTGTCAGCTAGAATGTTGAGTAATTGTTCACGTTCTGCTAGAATTGTAAGAAATTGTCCAGTCTGAATGGTAAAAAAATTCCACTGTCAGCGAGAATGTTGAGTGATTGTTCACGGTCTGCTAGAATGGTGTAGCTTGTAGAATTTTGCTTTTATGATATTTGTTTGTATTTGTTTGTATTTATTTGTAGTTGATGAAACATTTAGTCAACAACCTCTGTCACTTCCCAATGGGATCAGGACCAGCACGATTAAATACTTTGGTACAGGAACATCATGATATACCAGAATATATTGAAGAAGATTTGAAACCTGACATCTTTTCAGCAGCTAATGTGCAAGTAGGTTTGGGATTTTGTGGGCCATGTCCAAATGTTGATGTTTCAATAAATCTCTCGTGGCTCCTTACTACCAGATGGTCATTTGCCAAACTTTCCTGTTTATCTTTACCCATTTACGACAGGAACAACTGGAATAATGAGGAGAGATGACTTGTTCAAGGTCACGTGTCAACTGAGATAAGAACACATGACCACCATTTGTACGACATATGACATTATTCCACTCTTACTGACTTTTTTTTTCGTTTCTTTTTAGTTTTTTGTGTTAAATCATCGTTGTTTAGTATCATTTATTGAACTACCAGCAAAGGTAAGAATATGATTATTGTCTAAAGAGGCATGTGAACTCTCTAGTAACTAAATACAAAAAACAAACTCAAGTTGTTTGGATGGGAGAATGAGCTGGTGTTTTTTGTGTTAATCCAAGAATTGGAAATCAAAAGAAAGTTGACAAAACAGTGGCATTATCCTTGGAAAATTTACATTACCACATACTGTAGAGCTCTGGCTGTCCTTAACCTAACTATGCTTGGCCACCATTCCATTTCATTCTATGGCTTTTACTGTAGTTTGCTTCTAAATACAAAGAAAATGGAGCAAAAACCTTTGATTTTTGGATCAAAACCTTTGATATTTGGATCAAAAAGACCATTGTTTTGATTGTTTGCAGGATGCACCAGGAGGTGGTGTAACAGCAGGATTGACTACAGCTAAAACTGTATGTCGTGTTGTGGTTAGAGATGTAGGAGGAAAGTTCTGTTGGGAAAGTTCTGTATTATATAGTCCTCCTTGGTGTAAAAAGGGTTCATCTTTACACAGTAAGTTATATTTTGATTGTTTGTAGTAAGGGACAAAAGATCTCTTTTGAGCATAAAATGTCATATATGGCAGTACTTCCATAAATTTATGTTTTTCAGAAAGAAGTCACTTTTTCACCAAAAAGACTTAAGGCAATAATAACATGATATAATACATAAACTGAGAAAAATGCAATATGGAAGTTGCCACAAACATCTACAAACTATTTTTACATTTCTAATATCACTTCCTTCAATAAACCAGTTAACCAAACCGGCGTTTATTTTCCAATAACTGTAGTTTGTCATGTGACAATAAGGCGTATGAATACATCGAAAACAAAAACAAGGATAGGAAAGGGATTTTGGAAGGGTTTCTAACAGGTATTTTAAATCCGTTAATATTTCAATGGAATAATAAATATTTGATAATTCTATCATCCAAATAAGACTATTGATTTATAGAACTATATTGTTAGGGGCGGGGCGAGAACTCGATAGACAGATATCGGTGAATTAACCAACAACGATTTCGGGTATTTTTACAATTAAAAAATAGAACATTTTGGCGTATTTTATCAGAAAAGATAAACCAATGTAAATATAAGGAATGAATGTTGATGTTGTTATCGTTATGGGGAAATAA